CTCTAACACCTATTTAAAATATCCCAAGAGCGAACTGATACGGTCTCTATCTAGTCACATCTCAGAAGCAGCTTTCTGGTTTGATGGACAGAATACCAGTCCTACCACTGGAAGTGCAGGATTCATGCTGTGAACAAGTCTGTGACGGCTGTTAACACCAGCTTTTTTAGTGTTCTTGAGAATATTTTACATTTAAACCATTTTAGCTTTCCAGACACCAGCAGCAGTTCTGAGTGCCTTGAAACACAAGGAGAAAAGTCTGATGGTTCCAATACTAGAAATGAAGCAGTGAGATTTTAGCTTGTAAGGTCACTGATGAAGGCAGGGTTAACTGCACCACTTGCCTCTAAACAGCAGCATTTCTTTACAGCCTGTAAATGTCTCTTATGTTATCTAATACCTGTTGATGAGAACAATGTGCTTGCAACATCAGGTAGCTTCAGGCTAACCCTTACCAGAGATGAGTTTATCCATGCTTGGACAACCTAGATGAACCACTTCTTCCTTCATGAGCTACTCCTTCAATACCTGTGCTGTCTAGGTAAGCCATACGCTAGCTCAGGCAGGATAGATGGAAATTAACATTGAATTTTTAGAAGCAGGGGGATTGAGTAGCTGCTCTTAGCTCACCAAGAGACTTCATGATCTTCACTTGAAGATAAGCCAATACCTACAGAATTTTAGGCCATTTTTTTTAGTCTTTAAGGATTGAAACCTGGATGCATTTCCCAGTGTGTACTACTCCACTGGGGGAGGCTGCCTTCCAGGAGGCTGAATACCAAGCTCTTGAGGTTTTATTTTATGTGGATCCAAGCTGCTCTGTAAAGCCAGAGTCTTGGAAAGTCTCCTGGGGGCATGAAGGAAGTGGAAGATGAGATCAGCTGGAAACTTCCAAACTCATTTCGCATCTCACATATGGACTTCAAGTTTATAAAATTCTGCTGATTTCTAAACTTGGATGAATTGAGCTTCTTGGTGGATTTTAGGACCTGTTCCTGGGCAAGCTAACCAGTCATGGTGTTTAGGCTGTATAATCCACGAAAAGAATGTGAAGCTGCTTCCTTACCAGATAGCAACCTGTGTAGTTGGCAGGGCTCATACATCTCCAACAGACAGCTAGCTTCTACTTGCCCTGCACTCTAGGAAGCCAAATCCTTGCTTCTAGGGTCATCTAGTCCCATGTATGCATAAGCTTGTGTGTCTTCAGGGATCTGCAAGCTCTGCAGGAATGTGTGAGGAGTCTGAGTGTCCATAGGCAGTTGTACAAATGTGCACAAAAGAAAGAAGTAGTCACAAACCTAGAGGCTTGAATGTTGTATTTCTGCCATAGGTTGTGATCTAGGCCTTCCTAGACCTTCACCTGCTCAGCTTCAGAAGGGGACAGCTAGCCTGAGGAGGTGAGGGACAGAGACTAAGGATCTTTGCTTTAGGAGAAACTTTGAAATTTGAAGAAATTGTGGATGCACCCTAGGACTTGAAGAGTCTGTAGCTGTAGGCAGGACCTGTCCTTCATTTCATTTACCTGGCCACCAGAAGCAGTCTTTCCTTCTCCCTGTTGTGGTTCTGCTCAGATTTGTGGCAGGATGACTACTGTAGCAGGTGCAGTAAGGAAGAGGAAGTTTGGTTTTTGTTTTTTTCTTCCTGTGAAGAGCGGTAGGTACCTGCTAGAACTTGGACAGTGCTAATCTCTGATAATGCAGCTAGGTAATTAAAACAGCAGATGAGCAGCTACTTGGCACAGTAAAGGTGAAACTGATGCATGAGTCTGGCACTGAAGTCAGACTCTTTGTTGTATGAAACAATTAATATTAGTTAGTAGTATTTCAAATGCTCACGGGTATAACCACGCTGGCAGGGAATGGTGCAGATGGCTGCAGATCTCTTTTCCTGCCAGGCTTTGCAGGACCGACTCCTCTTTCTGTGGTAAAAGTAGACTAGAACAGATGATGCAGTCTTGCTTCCCCAACTGCAAAAAAAATCCCATAAGTCCCATGGAAGAAAGCCAGTGCCAATTAACATGATGAGGAAGTGCTCTGTCTCAGGATTGCAGCCTGAGATAATTTAGATTGCTGGGCCATCTGCTGTGACACTTTAAAGCCTACCTCTTTCTAGCAATAGCTGAGACTAGCAAAGGGATCCAGCCTGGTGCTAAACAAAGGCTCCAGCAGTTGTGATCATTGTTTCTTATCTCGTGCAGTTAGCTAGGAGGCTCCACCCATTACTAAGGACAAACGCTTGGCTTCTAACTTGGCCTTCAGCTGCTGAAACCAATCCAAGTAGCAAGGCATGGTGCCAGCCGTGACTGTCTGGGGAGGGATCTGCCACCACAGCAGAGGCTGTGTAGCACAGTACTGCTTTAAACACACAATTCCTTTGTCCTTTCCCGTCATCACAGCTAGCAGCCCTCCTGCTCCTGACCAGAGGTGCAATGGAAGTGTTACTTGACCTAGACCTGGAGTGGAATTCATCCAGAATGAAATTGGTAAAGCTGTCACAGCCTTCGTTTTAAGGCCTGCGACATCCCAGAGAACCCACGGCTGCAAGAACGTAGTCGAGGAGACTGGAGTAAGATTCCAGCCTTCACAAACCTCTGTCCTGCTTAAACAGTGTAAGATGTGATAGTGTGGTTATTGTCATCTCCTAACAGAACTGGTGAGGAAAGTCCCAGATCTCATGCACATGGCTGTAAGCTTCACCCCTCATCCTTCCTCCAGTTGTTCTAACACTTTGATATAGTATTGTTATATATCAGGCATATTCCATTGTACTTTTTAAGCTGTCATTTGGAAGGGTTTTGTTAACAGGCTTTCAAGAATCTCCTTTGTAATCAGGCTTAAACTGTTTCCAGAAGTTAATTCATTTCCATACTGGAAGCTTAGGACTCGACTTACTGCAGTTCTGGCACAACTTGTCTGACACTAATGCTTATTGCACATGGGCAACGAAGAGCTGCCTGTACCTTTTGGAAATAATAACAGATTTGTCTACATCTGCTGCGGTGCCCCAGGGCTTTCTTTGCTCTTTACTTTGCTCAGCCAAACTCTCCCGTCTAGCTGAATTGCAGATTTTCTGAACCCATCCTCTGCTTCTAATCCTGTCATGACTTCTGTTTGCTCTGTTTTCCTGACTCTAACAAAACTCTTTATCTCTTGATTTGTTGTATCCTTGCGTCTTCCTGTTTTACGGGTTACTGCTAAGCTGAGTCTAAGCCAGATGCTGCTTCTGTGGTTCAAGATGTCTGCTTCGTGTATGAGCTGGCAAGCTGTGCCATGTTCATCCTGTGAGGACAAAGAGCATCTTGAGTGCCTTACCTTCTGATTCTTGCTCATTTGCGAGTTAAATCTGCAGCATTTCATCTGTTGGCAACCACTTCTGAGTGGTTTCTGCTGTGAGAATGCATCTAACCTCGCTGTCAGTAGGCAATAGTTCAGACCAGCCCTTCCCAAAATGTCTAGGCTCTCTCATTCCCCAAACGAGAATATATTTCCCTCCCTACTGCACAAGCCAGTCCTCAAAGTGAAGAACAGCACTAGCTGCAGGGCTGTGAAAGGCAGAGGGGCTGTCTGTAAAATCAGTGTTCTTGTGGTGGGTTTGTAACAGACTGCTAGGAACTTAGCCCCATTTTTAGCTGTTGTCAAAGGCAGACCTTCATAAGAGGCCTTAACCTGAAGCTCTCACCTGTAATTCCCAACCCTTGAGCAAAGGATGACTACTTTTGAAGACTGTCCTGGACTATCCCTGTCCAGCTGGGACATAAAAGACAGTTGCGTAAGGAATACCGATGAACAAACAGGATCTTACCCAAACTGGATTGCTTAGCTAAAATTGCATGTTTCATTTAATCCCTTAAAGACTACATAAAGCTGGAGCTAAGCAGTAGTCCTGGGACTAGATGCTACTAGTTAATGTGCCGCCCATGAGCTGTAGTGATATTTCTGCAAGCCTAGCAACCAGGGAAACCTCTGTCCTAACAGGGGAAACACTCTGTGGGTAAAATCTTGTGCTACTACTACAAACAAACGAAAAACCACAACACCCACTCTTCTATGAAAAGAAGAGCCTTGGATCTTTGGCTCTTTCTAATACTGATGTCAGATGTTCCTACGTATTATACAACTTGTCACATGCTGTCAGCTAGCTCTGCAGAGAAATCAGAGCAGAGAGCACATGCGAAGTTTGCTGTGATATTTATGCAAAGTGGAGTAGCTACTAGCTGTATGGAACAGCTGGTTTATATCAAGTTGTAAGACTTGAAGGTGTGGGAATGTAATAAGTTTTATCTATGAAAACTTATTTTTTTTTCTTTCTGTTGAGTCAGTTTCAAGGAATTACAGGCTTCCGAAACCCTTGTGTTCCTCTTTCTAAAATGGTCACTTGCAGGATCTTTTAGCTTTCATCATCCCTACACACTGGATGACGCTCTTGGAGTTGTGAGGATGGGAATGAGGACCTCTCCAAAGCACTGTGTGTCCATGGGCCCTAAGACTCTAAAGGGAGCTGCGTATAGGCGCAGTTAATGAACTGGCTGCAAAGCCTCTGATTACAAGTTTGGCCTCCTGTCTCAAATACGGGAGTCTCCAGAAGGAAAGACTGACTCATGCCAGTGGACTGAACTGTTGCCACTTTGCCTGAAGCCTGACTTTTAAGTAGGTCTCCTAATTTGCCTAGCTATTTTGTTTTCATAGTCTGAGTTGGTTCACTGTTGGTTAAACAATATTTTTACTTCCTGGTAGAAATAAACTGTGTTGCTCTGTATTAAGGGGAGGTAGAGAAGTAATATGCTTTCTTCACAATGTACAATTTAATATTCAAACTTCAAACCTTGAGGGACTGCTCAGGTGTTCTGGAGAAGGCTGATCCTTGGAGCTGCTGAGATGGTCTGAAAATAGCTAGAAAGAAACAGAAATATCAGTGGTCCATGGCATCTATAAGAACACTGTACTTTATGGTGAATCTGTTCACTTACCAAAAACTTACTGTTTTTTTCCTTTCCAAAACAGGATCTTAGTCTACCCAATGGCACACCTGTTGACACGTCTAGCCCAGCCTCCTCCTCATCTCTTCTCAACAGACTACAGTTGGATGATGACTTGGATGGGGAAACTAGAGACCTGTTTGTTACTGTCGATGATCCCAAAAAACACGTGTGCACAATGGAGACGTACATCACATACAGAGTTACAACAAAGGTACAACACAATGTTTTCCTTTCCTACCGCTTTTTTTCCCTTCTAGTTTGTTGGTTTGGCTTTTAAAGTATATTCTGGATGTTTATGCTTTTCGTTGTTTTGCTTCATCTTAAGGACAAGAACTTAGTGTCTTTCAGTACCTTGCAATTATGTTGATAGTGTGACTTCTCTTAGCAGAACTGTTACTACTTCATTATATGAAACAATTTAGAACTTTTAATGTGTCAGCTTAGATCTTGTCTGTGGTTCTTAGATAGAACTGTTTGTGAACTTGAAAAGCCCGTTTCCTTTAACTTGAAAGATTTTTCATATAAAGTAATCTGACACTCAATTTGGTTTGAGTTACTTCCCCTTGAAGGGAATGTGCCTTGTTTATTCACTGTTAATCTTGCATTTAGTGTCTTAGCCATTCTCTGAAATTCTTTAAGCTCGTTGCTTGAGTGTCCATCACACATCTTCTGTCAGCCATTTATCTAAATCATAATATCATAATCTTGATCTTAATATAAACTAATCTCCATGCAGTTGTCGATACAGAAGGCTATGTAGCTGCTGTTAAAGCTAGGTAAAAATACCCTAAGAATGCTATTGCTTCTCAAAAAAGTAATGTAGTTTTTTTAGCATGTGTTGTAGCTCAATCATTAATGCAATCTAACTACACTAATAGGAAAAGCAATCTGCAAAGTCCACTGCTCTCACAACTGGAATTTTAATTTATGCTAACTAGACATTCTCATTAATATCAGCTTCTCAGTGATGTTGACATCTGTTTGGGGCACTTGCAGTTACCTAAGGTGAGAAGTTTTAACTAGCTTCACTATGATTATACTTTATCCACTTGTCCAGAAAGATTAGCATTACTGTGGCCTACTTAGATTGCACTCTATACTGGAGAGAATATTTTCCTTTGGGGTAAAGAAACCTTTACAGGCCACAGAAACTTTTTTCAAAATGTCTGCTCAGAAGTTCCACTTTCAGGTTGCACATTGGAAAATGTGGTTTCTTGAAAATAGCAGCTACCTTGTACTGCTGGCTTAACTTTGGCCTGCCATTCTTAGTTGCTCTAAGTGTTATAATCTTGCAAAAAATACCATTTCTTAACCACTAGAAAATGCTAAGTATTGCAGGAAACTTGTGTATGGTGCGACTCTGCCCTTGGCTAAGATCAGAAGGAATGGGAAGTGTAAAACGTGAGATGCTGCTTCCCACAGTCTAACAGTTAAATTTGGCTAAAGCTCTTTCTACCTTAAATTGAGACCTCATTATTTTGTCAAGTATCTCTACACAGTGACACCCTAATCATGTTCTTCTGCTTGGAAACCTGTGTTTCATATGAGTCCCCTTCCTTCTTAAACCAGATCCTAGAAGGTGTGTAAGGTATTTACTGTAGAGCAGATTTATTACCCAATAATGCCCTTTTCTAGAAACAAAACAAAAAAAAAATCACCCATGGATTTTGCATATCTACCTACCTGTCTGTTAATAGTCCCTGCATCTCACTGTAGTACATAAATCTGCTAGATCACACCATTACAATACTGTTATGAAACAGCGCCAAATTCATCCTCATCAGTCACCATGAACAGCTCACCTGTTTGAGTTTATAACTTCTTGTAAACTTCTGGAAAACCTCTAGGGTCAACACCTCTAGTACTGTCTATTATTGTTTAAAAAAGACTGGTTGGATGTTTAGCAGTATTAATGATCTGACTCATTCTTGCTATACAAACAAGTCTTCTTTGATGACAAGCTAATTGCCCAGGCAGCTATTGTAGCTGAAAGCAGTAATTAAACGTGGCAAAAGCTGCATAGGAATAATCCTTAAACAGTGATCAAGATAGGTGTTGATGTTTCAGCTTCCAGGTTGTAGATCAGAGCCCTATGGCAAGCTGTGTTCCTGTCCTCTGTTTAAGGCCATGCCTTTCTGCCACCTCCTTTACTTTCTTGCATGAGAAGGGTTTGAGACCTGCTGAAGGGCTGAAAGGGTCTCTGATGGCTCTGGATGAGGACGCAAGGATGAGGATGTCTCCTTTTTCTATTTTTTATGCATCCCCTCTCTGCTTAATCCTACCGGAACCCTAAGGATTTGGATAAGTTTAGGTCCTAGATGCAGTTATGTTGAAGTCTTTCCTGCAGTGAAAAGCAGCATCACTAAATGGAAGAGGGAAATGTAATTGCCAGTACTGGAGCACTGTAACATGTGCTTGTATCTCTGACTGGGAGCCATTGTAGAGAAATAATACAACCCTACTAGGGTCATGTTTTTTTATTACCCACTAACCCCCTTTTTTTTGAAAGTTCTTCCATCACAACAGCAAAAAAGACGGGTCTTGCAGTATGCCCCAGACTTCCTATCTGTTGATATCATTGTCAGCAGGTAGTGGTGGCTGAGGAAGGGTCCAAAACAATGTCTTGCAGTGAAACTGAGAAGGAGGTGTATAGTTAACTCGGTCCTGCTTGTACCCCTGCTTTCACAGCTTCCTAATAAGAGCCTGATAGCATTCCTCAGCCTGTCTTCAGGATAAACACTTTAAGAGAAAGTTTTCTATAACAGCAGAATAAGAATCCCCAAAAGAATGGGGACAGCAAGTCAGACTTGGCTCTGCTGACAGTCTTTTGTACCCCGTCTTCTTCTTGATAACACAATTTTTCTTGTACAAAGAGACCAGTGAAGCCAAAAAAGAGCAGATGGGTGAAACTTGTGCTGGAACTTTGGCCTTGGCTGTAATGACTGAAGTGTCAGGTGTTCTTGATGACACCTTTGATCCCTCTGGAGGGATTTTATCTAGAAGATCTTTTCTTTCTGAGGAATGAGAGGGAAAATCAATCTTACCTTTATGCTGTGTAACCATCTCTCCTGACAGAAGTATAGGAGTGCTTCTAATTCTGCTTTTGTTGTGCTTTCTGGGAAGGCAAGGCATTCTTCTGTGCCTTCCATGGAAGCCTGAGCAGCTGTGTGCCATTCCTCAGTGTCATGCAGTTGCTCTGCAAGGCTGAATGGAGAATGCAGGCTTGAATTGTATACCTCTGAATTGACTTGAATTCAGTCAATGCTGAAGTGCAGGTCTTATTTTCTTTTTCATATCCTTCTGCCCTTGCTTCCATTGCACGCATTGAGTAGACCTGAGTGCATGAAACAGCTTGATCTGTAGCAAGGACCAGACGTAAGTGCTCTTTGTCAAGCAGGCTGAAGTATGAGAGGTGAGCAAAGCTATGAACTACTAAGAATATCAACCTTCCTACCTTCCCCCCTGCCATTTTACTGTTTTTCTCATAAAAGATTTTGCCCCAGTCTTAAATAGTAACATGGGGGAAATATTTAAAATGTCTAGCAAGTCAGAGACTAGAACTAGGGTAGGAAAATAAATTCTTGCACATAGTTGTCACAGACTGGCTTCAGGCTTGTCTGCTAACTGTTTTCAGGAAAGAGAAGAAACACCAAGATTTGGTGTCTGCCTTAATACTGCTTCCAACAAGAGGTAAAACTGTCTGTAACCCTTCCTGCTTTTCCGCAAGTCAAACCGAGCCTGGAATACTGCAGTGCTGACTTAGTGGAAGTGTGCTGGAGTCTTCAGTAAATCCCTGGAAATGTTGTACATTGGCTGAGGTCGAGATCAGCCACATAAATTTCTCAGCTTCCTTTAGGAGAGATGTGTGTCCTTGCAAAATGAGATTTATGAATTCTACTAGGAAAACGGGAGGAACGCAGCTCTGTCAAAAATGCACACACTTCACTTGCCATCCCTGGATGGTGGCAAGACACTCTTCCATTCTGCGTTCAGTCCAGAAAAAGTAACTTCTGCTAAGCTAATGGACAACTTGATCTGAAGTCCAAATTCTTTTGGCATTAGTGAGGTGTGGTTAAAACCTTGAAGGGCCCTTATGTTGTGTCCAAATAGTCTTGACAAGCTTATTTGCTGTCTAGATTTGACAGGCCATACAGCGAACACTGAAATGCTGATGTGTTTTCATGTGGTTCCCTTTAAGGAACAAAGCCTGATATATGGAAAACTTTAGAAATCTAATGGCAACAGTTCTCTAGAGATGAGTGATAACTAACGTTAAACTTGTATAATGGGACTGAACCTGCTCAAATTCTGCCTCCCTGCTTCTAGACTAGGTAGCACCTAATGGTTTTCCTTAACTGTTAGTGGACTACTGGTTAGTAAGGTTCTCAAAGCTAACAGATGGGATGCTTCACTTTCATTATACTGCAGGACAAGACACTATAGTGTGTAAACATGCCAATTACTCTTACTCACTTACTGTATGAGCTCTTTTCAGAGGACTTTGCCCAGTCACAGACAGTTCATAAAAAAAAAAAAAAAAAAAAAACACCACACCACGCTCTCCCTATTGTGAAATGGCTACCTTTTTATTTTAATTTCAGGTGGTTTTGTGTAAGGCTGAAATACAGGTGCCCTGCTAACAGAGCAAAGCAGTCAGCAGTCAGCTGTTTGTATTCCTTGTCTTCCTCTAGCATAATACCGTTCAGTGTCTTATTCCAAACAAGTGAAAATGGTTCATACGAAGTGTCAAAAACTTCACTACTGCTGAGGCACTCTGCCACATTAAATAAGTTGGTGCTGCCCTAATGTATAGCTGACTAAAGCACAAATCCACAGTGAATATCTTAAGTCTTGGCAGTCTTTCATTTGCAAGTATGTGTGCTCCTTTGATGAGCGTTCATTATGTCAGTCCATGTTCTTAATTGTATACTTCTTACCGCACTTACCAGGTCAGAACGAGGATGGGCAGAGCTTGGTGTCTTCTCTTTATTTCTCTATGCCTTCCTTTTCTAGAAAACAAACCATTCCATAGGTAATATCATATTAGTATGCTGTTTATTGTGTATTAAAGCTGCTGTTATGTTGATAGCCTGCTAAGGCTGACAGCTCCTCCCTGAAGAGACTGCTGGCATGGACCTTGCACAGGATCCCTTCTGGGGATTAGTGGGTCTGATGTGTAATAACTGAGGAGTTAGAGCCATCCACAGATTGCGTCTAAAGGCTGCCACTTGGCTCTCTGCAAATAGTGCTCTGTGTGGCCATTGCCATCAGTCCAGAAATAACCACAAAATCACAGCTGGAATTTAGCAGATGGTGCACTGTCTAGGAAGAGTGCAGAAACCTGGTGGTTTTCCGTGGGTTATAATGGTAGAGGCTATCTGCCTTCCAATCAGGGCTGTCACACTACCAGGTTCTTTAGCAGAGCCTCCTGGTTGGGACATAGTTTCATAAGTGCTGCTTGACAATTGCAATACGTGCTCCCTGAGCAGCTGCATACAGTCAGCTTTCCAGGCTACAGACTGTTCAAGGACTTGATAAAACAATTGCAAATAGTTTTTCTGCATACCTAACTTCTGTCTCAGACTTGTAATGGCAAATTTAACTCCTTGCCTTAAAGAATGAAAACTTTAATGATTTAACTTAGGGTACTGATATCTGAAATGTAGCATGCGCGAATTTAATGTAAACAAATAGATTTCTTCCTCTCAAAAATCAACAACAATGATCTTTCGGCAGACATAGCAATGGCTTATGTTCCAATCTGATAGCCTTGAAGGAGTATAACAAGCCTGTAGTTTCCAGAATACAGAACACTGGTGAAACGTTCCTCACCCACGGTGAGGAGTAAACAAGTCATAAAATATCTTTGCTTTTAATTCTTGATTGCTAAGTCCTGTCCTTGGAATAAAGATCATACATTCTCTTCACATGGTAACTGCCAAGAGATAAACACGTGCACAGTGCTCTCTTCTTCCCAGACCACTCCTGTAAAATTTACTTGACTAGAAAATGTAATGAAGTTCCAATAAACTTTAAGAATACATCAGATCCAAGTAGACATTTTTCTTACTGCTCTTTCCCTCTGCTCGAAAGGCCAAAGGATGTTTCTTTCATGCCACTTGCAAACTGCATTTTGGGGTGGAGTCCTAGTACAAAGCTTGTCTGTCCTCATCCTTGCCAGTGATGACATTTACTCCTAAAGTCTGAGGTGAGAGGTTTCAGTGTACACTAAGCTTCTCCTGTTCTTGTTTTCCAGACCACACGAGCAGAGTTTGATTTGCCAGAGTATTCTGTGCGTCGGCGGTACCAAGACTTCGACTGGTTGAGAAACAAGCTGGAAGAGTCTCAGCCAACGCATCTCATTCCCGTAGGTAGTAAGCAAGAATCTGCCACTAAGGACAATTGTGTATTTGCCTTTAAATGGTGTAATGTCTCTTTAGCTTTAAATACAGCACTTAATTCAGTCTTCTGCTAATAGAGTGGGAAAAGCTGCCCATTTTTAACAGGTTATGAAGCTTAGACATTTTTCTCAGGTGAGACACCTGAGAGTTGAGCTTTGGCAGCTTCCCACAGGGAAATACATTTGGTAACAATTCTTGTCCTGTTGTAAGTAGAATGTGCTTGACTTGCTTGCACAATTATTACATCTACATTTCTGAGTATATGAGGCTTACAAAAAAGCCACACAGGTGTTTCAAGTGCTAGTTTTAGTATTCAAGATGGCCTTTTGAGCTGATTCTAAAGGGTGTATTTCAGGATCACTTGTGTTATCGTTTAAGAGCACAGACTTAAAAATCTTAGCATGTAGCTTGACAGCTATTGCATACATTCGATAGGCAGAGGAATAGCTAAACTACTGCACCCTTTCTTTCTCAGAAGCTGGCAGTCTGGCCACCTTTTGTCATGTGAAGGGGTTACTTATCTTCAGCAGGCTGTATTTCATGCTGTAGAAAATGTGAAGAAGTAGGAAGACAGTGATATCATCCCTATCAGGTCTTTTGAACAAGGAAATCCAAAAAGGTCTGTAGTAGGTAAACTGTGGAGAAATAGCAACACTGCCAGCATACACCTTTACTTGCCCATTTGGTATGGTGGCTTTTTTTTTTTTTTTTTTTTTTTGCTCTCCCTCCTGCAAAAAGGACTAGACTGTATGAGAAGTATTCAGGTAGGCTGTTCCAGGACAGAGAACTATTTAAGTTCTTAATTTCTCAGGGACATGCCTCTGAGTGCAATAGTGGTTCAATCTCTCAAAGATAAGAAATACTTCACAAAATTATGTGACGCTGCTGAAACAAAAAGCTTAATGAGGGGTGGGGAGAAGACAGAAAAAAGAGTGAGCTTGTGCAGGGTTATGTCAGCTGCCAAAGCTGTTTGTCCTTTCTCCCTCCTTGTTCTTTGAGTAGCTGGAGCTGTCCAGGTTAAGCTGCTACAAATTTCTTAGCCTAGGTACAAGCTGCCAGCCTTGCCTGAAGGCAGCATGGCAGTCAGCTGACAGTCTAGCAGCAGAAGGTGATTCACACCAAGGGAGTCAAACAGCTTTATGACCTGGAATTCGATGCACACAGGACCACACATTTGGTAAAAATGTCACAAGTTGCTCTAATACCAGCCACAAAACCTGCTGCAGAACAAGGCAATCTCTTAAGCCGCCTCTTCTAGAATATGTGGGAGTTGAAGGTCACACTGCCTTTTTGATCTGCCTGTGCACAAATGCACTCTAATAACAGTTATGGAATTGCCTATTAATCTCCTCTATACAGCGGTAAGATGGGGAGACTGATGAATGCTTTTGGTATTTATTGCCTAAAAGTAGATGGAGTACAGAGGTTAATGGTAATTTCAGGTGCACGGTGACTCTAGTGTGTTCTGAAAGGAAGTTTCAAGCCATTCTAAGAGCATCTCTGTAACTGGAGATACTGCAATCCTTGGAGGCCTTCTGGCAAACAGAGTACTGAAACAGGGCTGTCTTCTGTATCCTGGTACAGTAACTGCGTAAAATTTTTCCGTAAAGAGTGATGTGTCTTCCCAGTGTAGAAAGCCATGATAGCCTATATTTAAACAGCAGCCCAATTGAAACTTAATATGGATTTTTTTTTATCCCTTTGGTTACTATAATCTGAGATTTATTCTAATCTGTTCTTTCAAAGCAACAGTAAAAACACACAGACAACAAAGCCCCACCCAACAACAATTAAAAAAAAAAAAAAAAAAACAGTCTCAGATTCATCTCTAGAAAGGTAAGCCTAATATGTCCAAAGATCTTTCGTTCGGATACTCAAAGCCTTTTCTGTCTGCATTGAACTCTGCTGCTCACATCAGAGCAGGGAAATGTGGGCTATTAAGCTGGAAGACCATAAAGCAGATAAGTAACACACAGTTGAAAGAGGATACCAGTTGCTAGCTGTATTTACTGTTTGGGGTGGACCTCCAAAGACCTATAATTTAAAGGACAAGAACTACTGCTTGTTACAAGTGCTTACTGTAGTTTTTTGCCTCGTGTCTTTCTCCCCTTACTGGATGCCAGAAGACAGACAAGCTCTGTTCTCTGTCGCTGCTCTGAATTGCAGGTAGTCCCTTGGCATACTGATCTACTGAAAAGGTTGGAGTCATGCTGAAAGTAGGACTTTGCTGTTATATTTAACATGTACCTACAACTATGTCTCTGTATGTTACTTACCTTTGTAGTAGAGCAAGTGGCAGTTGCTCTATAGCCTCGTGCTTTCAGAATGTGTTTAACGAGGCTTAAATCTAGGCTTTAGAGTGGGGAACTAGGTAATGCTTCTCTGCTGTCTGAGGCATGGGCATCAGTTTCCAAGATGAGATTAAGTGCTGTGAAAGAGGCAACTCGAATTATAAACAGTATTGAAAACAAGAAATGCAGGCTCCTCTGTGGGACAGAGGTCTTTAGGAAGCTTTCAAACTCTCCTGTTTTTGGTTTGCTGGGTCTTGCCAAGGACTAATTGCCCTGTTGGCATGGCTGTATTGCAAAAGTTTTTCAAAAGCTTGAAGTACATGCATGACTTGATTTACTGAGAACACTGCTAGGTATAATTTAATGTGGATCCTAAACATGTAATGTTCATGTAAGGCCACCCTGCCTGCAGAAGGGAAGTCTGTAAGAACTAACTGGCTGAATGCAACCAGCTAAAATTATGATAATTAGCTGAAGTATTTAACAGAAGTTCTTTGGGTCTCAAATGCTCCAACTTTAGTGGTTATTCCATGCCAACATGGATGTGTTTGGCTGAACAGGGGGTCTTTAAAACTAGGTGTCTAGCTTGTGCTTTTCTTCCTGTGTATAGTGCTGTGGCAGTGACTTCATAAAACATCCAGGTAAAGCTTACAAAGCAAGGGAAAATAATTCGTCCTGCCTAATGACTACTGCACTAAGCAGTATTCTTCTGAAGAAGTCCAATTAGAGTATACCTTACACTGATTCTACTAGAGTGATTGATCTGAATGTTAAGCATAAGATAAGCCTTAAATTTAAAGAACAAATTAGAGTGGCCAAAATCACTATATATAGTAGCTATTTTACAGTTACGCTTGCTGTTGTTTTTTCTGTTTGTTTGTTTGTTCTGTTAATTTTGGAGGTGCAATCTTCATGTCTATCCAACATCAGCTGGGGAATGGTACAGAAGGCACTTGCATAAACATTTTTTTTTCTTTGAATTACTTTTTGTCATGGATTTTGGGTGACAAAGACCATTTCTAGCAGAGAGCTGTGACCCACGAATTTGGTGAATAAGGCTACCATTGCCAACCTAAGAGTAAGCAAATCATCTGTCTGGGTAAACTTTCAGAAGAATAAAATGCAAAGTGCAGTTTTAAAACTGACATTAGTCGTAGTCTATGTTGTCCCAAGTGAACAAAAGCAAATCAACAGTGGTAGAGCAGAGACTAATCGTGCTGAAGCTTAGAGAGTTAGCTTCCATCAGAGGAATTACTTTGCAGTCTGGAGAGTAAGCGTAACAGGAGAGGACGGACAGCTAAATACAGCAGAGCTGGTAGTCCTGGAGGCTGCCTGAGGATTACGTATTATATGGAAATGCAGAGAACTGGTGAAGGTGAAATAGGAGTAAGATGAAAGAGTAGATAAGCTGGCAGACCTTTGTGACTTACACAGGTATGCTCAGGAAAGCAGACTGATAGATGACCAAGTGTGCAGTTTAGCGAGTACTTCTGGAGGGCTCTGGGCTGGACAGCTCAAGCATTTGGCACATCAAAATGGTTTGTTTTCCTTTGGTCAGTGTGGTGCTATCACTAAAACTGGAAGCTCCAAGGCTCCTGAACTCCACAGAAGAGTCCTATCAAGGAGCTCTACTCAGAACAGGGGGAAGGAGAAGGTAGAATTGTTAGGATTTCCAGGTTTCCTTGGACTGAACAGCTTTGTTTGAATGTCAGTTGTGTGTGTGTGTGTGTGTGTGTGTGTGTGTGTATTAGGGGAAAAACACCTTAGGCTGTACTGAAAGTACTTAATGTACTTTTCTGGACTTAACTTGTCCATCTCTCTGCTGAAGCTGCAATGCAGAATGTTTAGACTAGATCTTCTACAAGATAATTCAGAGCATGGTTTGCATCAATTCTGATATATGGTTCCTCTTAACAAACACAAAATTTCACTTCCTGTTAAGAGTGGAGTTTGACTGCTTAGTATGTTTCCAAACATAAGGTTTTTTTTGTCTTTTGAATCTTGTTCCTTTTGCTTCTTTCTCTCAGCCACTTCCTGAGAAATTTGTGGTGAAGGGTGTCGTTGATCGCTTTTCTGAAGAGTTCGTGGAGACAAGGAGGAAAGCGTTAGACAAATTCTTGAAGAGAATAACCGATCATCCAGTGCTTTCTTTTAATGAGCACTTCAACGTGTTTCTTACTGCCAAGGTAAGGTGGTAACTTCAAACTCAGTCACTGACATGGACAGCAGAACAGGCACATTTGCAGTCTCTTTTGAAATGAAAGTAAAAAGGCATTTATATAACTACATGTGCGGGTCAGAACTTTCCCTAAAATACCAGCGTTATTGGGGGACCCTTAATGTTGCCTATGTGTGACAAGTATCAGCCTTCCTTTTCTTGAAGACAGACGTTTTGGAGATTGATGAATTCAGTTCTCTAGTGCTTGTTTTGCATTCATGTATAAATGCTCCAAGAGGAGTGTATTCTAAATCATACTTTTATGATGCAAGAGGCATTGAGAATTTAGTAGATTGTAAACTGTGCAAAATCCTCTTTTGGGGGAGGAGGGAAGTAGGGGAGGAAGAAAGATCTCTTGCACAGAAGCTTGCAAATTTATTGACCTCTTTTTTTTCCCTCCTTGTCTGTACCTTCTGTGCTGTTTGTACTTCTTGCTTCCAAAGTTAAGGGTGAAGATTTTGTTCTTGTTTGTCCTTGGTCAACAATTTCATGCTCATCTTTTGCATAAAGCATCCAGGAACTGTGTAATTTTCTTTGGCTGTCTTTTGAACTGCATTTTAAACAAGACCAGGGTGACTTGCAGTCATGCTTGGATTTGACCTGATAAGTGAGGAGAGCTGTGAAAGCACATCTCCCCAGTGTTACATTACATTAGCTTGCTCAATTTGACACTTAATTTGAGCTCACTTCAGGCTACTGCTCTGCTTGGTAGTAATGTGAGACTCAATCTCAAGTTCCCTTTTCTTTTCCTCCATTTATGGTGAACTTTACCACTAAAGGAAGTCCAAAATGCAGACCTTGCGTTGATGATTAAGTATCAGATAAATTTGTTCTGTTTTAAAGCTGTCAAAGCACGATGCAACTTTCTTAGCTGTTTAGTTTTCTTCCATCACCCTTCCACCCCCATGAAATGAATGATAAAAGCTTTATCCTTAGCCCGGGGCAGTGTTTGCATTAAAAATGCGGAGTGTCTAGGGAGGCTGAGGGGAAAAAAAAAAAAAGACACGTACTCTCCTGGCTGTCTTTAGTGTTGGTACATTCTTTATTTTAACAATGAGAAATCAGTTCAGTCTATTAGGACGTTAGAATTTAGTTATTGCATAAAGTCACGAGACCACCTCTTGGCTGAAAAAGGAAAACGCCCTTTCTTTGAGTTCCCTGTTTGGACTAGTAAGATGCCAGAGTACTTGAGAGAATGAGTGAATAATTTTGGTTTAAAGGGACTTTTTCTGATGCCTACTTACAGATAATGTGTAGAACAGACAGAAGGCAAGAGTCAAGGAACCACTCAATTTTAACGCAAACATAATTCAAAATGATTGATTGTACCTCCTAAGATGTCAGGTTCTCTTAACCAGACTTAGGCTTATATAAGTACTTGGAAAGAACAGCATATTGCATGTGTTGAAGCTGGCATTTGTATTTTTTTTTTAAGAACACTTAAGCCTTAGGTCTGGTCTATGCTTCCATATATTTATTCTTGACCTCTGTGGGTCTGCTTGACTTGAAAAATCCCTTCCTCATGCTGTTTATAGCTCTTAGGCTTGTGTTGAGATGTTGAATAGTGACCCCTGCTGGAAAGAGTAAAATGCAAAATGGATAGTATCTGGTCTAACTGAAAACATTTTTTCTGACATGCTGTCAAGGTGAAATCCCCCAAAGATTGCTGATAAACAAGCATGTTAACATAGGTTTCCTGAATGTTGATTTATGCAAATCTGTAAAGTGTTAGCAAGGAAGCTTAAGCTGTCTGTGCAGGCAATATGGCTACATCTAAGATTGTGTGAGCTGCAGGGTCTTGTTGAAAAGCTGTACTAGTCTCCTCATGCTGTGCTATTTCTCTGTACTGTCTTCCCTTACCTCCTGTCTGACCACACAGCTAGCCTGAAGAGGCTGCTGAGCAAATAGACATACAGTTTGTAGCTCTGTACGAGGCTATCAGAACCAACTGATACAAGTGCATAGCACTAGTATTGTACGACGTGACTTAAAAGTATGTCATTGTGGTGGTTTCACACCACTGGACAGCTAAGCAACATTGTGTGACTTTCTCATTCTTCCTCTGTAGCAGAACAGAGAGGAAAATATGGTGAAAAAATCTCTTGACTTGAGATAAGGACAGGGAGATCACTCACCAATTACCATCATGGGCAGAACAGACTCGGCATAGGGGAGACGAATGTAATTTATTGCCTATTAATAACAGACTAGAGCAGTGAGAACTAAAAGCAAAGCAAACATACCTTTTCCCCATCCACGTTTTTCTACCTTCTCCCTCTGAGCAGTGCAGGGCAATGGGGGCTGCAGTCAGTCCCTGACACTTCATCTCCGCCACTCCTTCACAGTCCCTCTCTGCCCCTGCTCCCTGTGAGGTCCCTCCCATGAGATGCCATCCTTCCCGAACTGAGCCTGCGGGGGCTGCCCACAGGCAGCAGCTCTTCAGGAACTGCACCCACACGGCTCCGTCCCACGGGGTCCATCCATCCCCCAGGAGCAAACTGCTCCAGCACCGGTCCCCCACGGGTGGGTGCCAGCTCCCCCCAGACCCCCTGCTCCTGCGTGGGCTCCTCTCCACGGGCTGCAGCTCCGGCCCGGGGCCTGCTCCTGCGGGGGCTCTCCATGGGCCGCAGCCTCCTCCAGGCCACATCCACCTGCTCCACCAGGGGCTCCTCCACCCATGGGGGGGCTGCAGCATGGAGATCTGCTCCATGTGGGACCCATGGGCTACAGGGGGACAGCCTGCTCCACCAGGGACTTCTCCCTGCACAGCTCACAGGGGAACTGCTGCTGCCTGCCTGGAGCACCTCCTGCCCTCCTTCTCCTTCATCAAACTTGTCTTCAAGGCTGTTTCTCTTGCACTTTAGCACTCCTCTCTCCCAGCTGCTGATCTGCAGCATTTTTTTTTCTCTTTCTTAAACATGCTCTCACAGAGGTGCAGTCATTGATTCAACTTTGGTCAGTGATAGGTCATTTGTGGAGCTGGCTGGAACTGGCTCTTGCCTAACATGGGGGCAGCTTCTGGATATCTCTCAGAGGTCACCCCTGCAGCCTCCCTGCTACCAAAATCTTGCCATGTAAACCCAATGCAGTCACTTCTAGCATGAGTGAATGAATGTCAGGAACAGTCTTGGTGAAAACAGATCTGCTTACATTATTATTTACTATGGCAATACAGGAACATGAGAAAGTCAGTCCAAACAGAAGGTATATTGCATACCGTTCTCCTGGATGGCTTACCTCTATCTAGAGGTAGTCTTTTTCGTGCTCGGCTGTATAACTTGTACAAAGTTGTACATCCAAGGCTGCATGCCACATATCAAGCCTACATGCCTCATGGCTTCACAATATTTGATCTTGACTGGGAAGTATCTTTTACTGGGCTAATCTTCCAACATGCAAGTGAAGTATTTCTAAACCGTTTTTTCTAACTTTCCAGGATCTTAATGCATACAAAAAGCAAGGAATGGCATTGCTGTCAAAGATGGGGGAGTCAGTCAAATACGTCACAGGAGGCTACAAATTAAGAAGTCGTCCACTGGAATTTGCAGCCATTGGAGAGTATCTAGACACATTCTCTCTAAAACTTGGTACCATTGACAGAATAGCACAACGGATTATCAAGGAACAATTGGGTAAGGAAGTAAGGTCTTCTGTTGTAATACTTCAGTGTGAGTGCTCTCTGCCTTATTCTGATAACAGAACCTGCATCAATGATTCTGGCATGTAATGAGCCACACGCAGAGTAAAATCTAATGTCTCACCTTTGTTATACTAACCTATTTTCTCACAGGCAGAATTATTTCTGAGAGGACTTATGGGAAGAAGAAAACCTGTAGATTTTAGCCGGAAGAGTACACATGGCATTATGAGTAGAGGAGGATAGCCTTCGTGGACCTGTCTTCACAAAACAAAGTTTTACATGTATACATGTAAAAGATGACTGACTACTGCACAGATGAAAATGTCTTTATGTGTGGAATATTGTAGGAGCAGTCATTTAAGCTGATGGTAGTTTGAACTTGTCATCTCCATGCAGCTGTGGAGCCCTGGCTATTAAGATGTTAATGCAAACTAGACTTGACTGCTAGAAGAGTCAATGTTTGCCAAACTTGGTCATAGATTCTCCTTTCTGTCATGAGTGCAGACCCTTTTGTCTAGCTCTGTGTTTATCTTCTTTTCCCTTTGTCTCTTGCAGAATACTTGGTGGAACTACGAGAATATGGACCTGTTTATTCAACGTGGGGCGGGCTGGAGGTAGAACTATCAGAGCCACTGGAAGGAGTATCTGCCTGCATTGGGAACTGCTGCACAGCTCTTGAAGAACTCAGTGAAGATATGACAGAAGATTTCCTGCCTGTGCTTAGGGAATATATACTGTACTCGGAGTCAATGAAGGTAAAGGGAGCATGGTGGCAGAAGACACTGTTACTATGCTTGCATGGAGTGATGTGTCAGTGAGTTCATTCTCTAAGGGTGGGAAGGCTTGGTGGTGGAAGAAGAGGGAAGTAAATAATTGAACTAGGATGATGTTTTCATAATTAAGTCAAAACTAGGTATGTTTAGTAGCAGGGTACTGCATAGGTAGCAGTAACTGCTCTGCTATTCAGTCAACATAAGGCTAGGGCGTGCATAAAATGTTGAAAAGATGCTCCTTTATTTGAGTAGTAGGTGATTTTCTGTAGGAGGCATCCTATAGCTGCCTAGAATCTTCTGTTTGAATTATAGGAAAGTCAGGTGTGGGTCATGTCTTCACTGCTGGATCAATGCCTAGATCCACCTGCAGAGAAGGTGGCACTCACAGCTTCTGTCACATGTATGCAGCAGTGTTGGATGGCTTCTTTTAGAACAAGTTGTCCAGATGACAAACAGTGCTTCCCCTTTCATCCTGTACACTAGGCAGGATGTGTCTGTCCAGCTGCTAAGATCTGTTTACTAAGTAATTGTTTAAAGATATTACTCTGTGACTGTCAAAGAACTTGATATCTTACCACTTACGCATAAATAATAAAAGCTACTTCAGTACAATTTTTATTCCCTTGATATTAAGAAGCATTAGCTGTAGATCTCATCACATAAGAAAAAATTACTTAGTTAATTGTGTTGGAAAGCGAAAATGAGAACTCCATTTCTGGTTTTTAGAGCTTTTCACTGCACGCCCATGGTACAGTATATATTAGCAGCCCCTGTGCAGAGCCTTCTGAGGACTTTCCTCTTGGAACAACCATTACAAGGGCATCTCTTCTAGAGATATGTAATAGATTGTTTGAAATTTACAATCTGAGCATGGTAGTCCTTCTTCATCTTAATTTTAGTCCTCCTACACTTCTCAAAGACATTTATTTTACAGATTTCTCTTCCCAGCTTCAGATGGCTGGTTGCAAGACTTCTGTCTTGCCTGGCTGAAGCAAGATATTCTTGCATGAGGCTTTGTACTAATTCTCTGAAGCTACTGTTTGCCTTCATGATATTTGTGGTATTTCATAGTATTCAACCCCAGCATAAACTTGGTGCATTTATTTTCCAGTACCATTAACATTGAAGTATTGCTGAAACATTTCAAGATGGAGCTAGAAGCCTTGACATGGGGTGTTCAAATTCCTTTTGTAGGAAGTGGTGCACGTGTGTGTGTACTTAAACAAGATGTGAGGTTAGCAGCTAAAGCTTTTACCCCAGAACTTCTGGCTTTTCACAATACGAATGCCATGATCTACTGGAAATGGCATCTGAAGTGGCAAACTAATTTGTAGGAGGTGTTTTGCACAAAGGTAGAGGGAGAAAAAAAGCTTTTAGAATGAGGCTCTGTCAGATGATAGCAAAGACGCTAAATGCAGTCTCCAAGCTAATAGTCTAGCTGCATTTTTTTTTCCCTTTTTGCTGCAAGTCTTTAATGCTGCTCTCCCTGTGGTAAGTGTTCTTTAACTGCCTGAAGTACCACTTTAGTTGAAGAAACCTGTGCTTTGTAGCTTAAATGCTAGGCTGTTGACTTGGCTTTCAAGTGCCCTAAAGGATTTTGCTCCTCCTGTCAGTTGTTCTCTGGTAACTGGCTGAACATGCTCATTGTGTTGGTGCTTAGGAACCGGTTGGATCTAGAAGCCTCATTCGCAAAATATCAGTTAATAACAAATAAGGGTTACGCTGCTGAGTGTCAAGCTTGGTCACGTCATTAGCTTTATCACACCTGAAAATCAAGAATAAAAACCGCTATTAGCTAAAGCAAACTGTTCCTCTTTTCCACCCCTTCCGAATACCAACCCTGAAATTTGTCATGTCATACTGAGTACAGATTTTTTTTATGCTAAAACGTATAAATCTGTTACTACTGATGCAGTAAGCAGCAACAGCGCTGTCGTGCCAGACTTAGAAACCAAAGAAGTAACTAAAAAGGAGGTTTCTCCCTCTCCAAAAGAGTGGAAGAGGCTTGCTACTGAAAGAGCTGTCCTCTTCACTAGCAGTACATTCCTATTCATCAGCTGCTTTGAAGCCTGGTAGTGAAATTAAAGTCTACCTGGATCTTTCAGAGCACAGTTTTGGATAGGGTACACAAGGGAAGGTGTCTTTAGGTCTTAGGAATTCACTACAACCTTGATAGCTTTTTCTGTTGCAAGTTGTACCCCAGCTATAGGTAAGGGAATTTGATTTGTGGAGCGGTCTGTAGCCGGGTGACTGCCCCTCAGAGTAAGAGCTGCCAGGATTATTTTCACTTCTTTTTGTGATGCCTGATTTCTTTAGTGTCTTAGGAGCAGTGTTTTGCCTGGTGGGGCCAGCGTGAGGAAACTGCACATCCATAGCGAAAGCCCAGTAATTCTGGTTGAAATAAACATTAGCTCTTTCCAGGGAAGACACATCTCTTGGTTCTGACTGGATTTTTTTTGAAAGATTTGCAGAAGTGGGTGGAGGCTGAGATTGTGGGCTTTAGTTAAAATAAATGCTGGTAGAGGCTGGGAGAGCTTTTCGAAAACACAGGCCACGCATGAGATGGCCAGACAGTGTCTGGAATCCTGGTGCAGATGAAGCCCTAATCAGCAAATGTGCAATGCTTTGTTTTTTGTAGTGTGCTGGTGTTCCACGGGAGGCACGTGAAGAGGACAAATTCTGTTCTAAATAATGTAGTGCTGGTATTAGAATCTTGTGTGCTTAATACTGCTAGAAAGGCCTATCAAATGATGTGGTTTCCAGCTGTGTGCTTGGACACTGCTTTAAAAATGCATTAGAAGTAAGCAACACTTGAATAGCTAACAGCCTCTGTAGAGGCATGCAATAAATAAGGATCCTTTTATGAGCTCTAATTGTAGTAAGAAGCTGTGTGCAGTGCAAATGGCATAGCTTTGCAGCCTGAGAAAGGAGGCTGCTGGCAAACTCCTGAAGCTCCTCCAATGATAGAGGCCAAGGTGGAATGTTTTAATGAAATACAGAAGGGAGAAGGACCCACCTCACTGAGAGCAGGCTAAGTCTCACCTTCTGAATAGGAACCAGTGGTTTTATTCCTTTCAGAACTAAATGAATTACAGAAACATTTAGGTTGGAAAAGGCCTCTAACATCATCAAATCCAACCGTTAACCTAGTATTGCCAAGTCTATCACTAAACCATGTCCCTAAGCACCACATCTACATGTCTTCTGAATACCTCCAGGGATGGTGACTCCACTACTTCCCTGGGCAGCCTGTTCCAGTGCCTCACAACCCTTTTAGTGGAGAAGTGTTTCCTAATTTTCAACCTAAACCTCCCCTGGTTGCAACTTGAGGCCACTTCCTCTTGTCTTATCTCTTGTAGTTTAGGAGATGAGACCGACCACTACCTTGCTACATCCTCCTTTGGGGTTGTTGCAATTGTGTCCCCTGAGACTCTTCTCTTCTCTGGGCTAAAAAATCCCGGTGCTCTCAGCTGCTCCCTGTAAGACTTCTCTAGACCCTTCACCAGCTTCGTAGCCCTTCTCTGGACATGTTTCAGGGCCTCAGTGTCCTAGTAGAGAGGGGCCCAAAGCTGAGCACAGCACTAGAGGTGCGGCCTCACCAGAACCACATGCAGAAGGACAACCACTTCCTGAGTCTTGCTGGCCACATGATTTCTGCTACAAGCCAGGATGCTGCTGGCCTTCTTGGCTACCTGGGCACACTGCTGAAGTGTGTGGTGTGTGGCTTTTTGTCTGGTGGTGTTTTTTTCCGTTTTTTGTTGTTTCCTTCTCTGTGAGGCCTTACCTAGCAGGAGTGTTGCATAGACAGTGGTAGATCTGAGGATACTTAGTACAGAGCTTTTCTGAGAAGCAGCTGAAGCATTAACACATTCATCCACAGCTGAGAAGAAATTGCTTGGAGGTGCCTGAGGAAATGCATCCTGTCACGTATGGGATGAATAAAAGAGAGAGCATTATTTTTCTCACCACTTTCAGGTCAACCATTAATGGATAGTCAAAACAGTATTCAGGAGCATATTGCTGATGGTCCGTAGTGGATGACGTAGGCACTTAAGGAGAAATAATATACCTGCCCTTTGAATCTAGTCTGCTGATACCTGTTAATCATTGTCTAGTGTGGGTTTAGATCCTGCTTACTGCATGAACTCCATGCTCATGGAGGCTAAATGCAAGTGCTGGAGACAGTTGTTTTTCTGAGGGGGAAAAAAAAACCCCTGACTTAATTGACTTAGGTTCAAGGGGCAATATAAAGTGGAAATACCCGTTAAATCACTCAGGCTTTTGTTCTGCTGGTAACCTCAAACACTCCAGGGCTGTTCCACATAGCAGCTTAGATTCCAAAACAGATGGGAATGTTGTGTGTGGTTTGTTGTTTTTTTCAAGCAAACAGGACCAATTGCATGCTTGCTATTGGGAACAAAAGAGAGGGTTAACCTACTGAAGGTGCATTTTTAATTTTGTCCCCTTTATTGCCTAAACCAATAGCAACTTTGTGGGTGGAGTACCTTTTCCAGTTATCGTGGACTGAGTTTTTTAAGAATACTGGTTGCACTGTCTGCTGCCTGTGCTCTGTCAGCAGTAGTTCTTCATCCCCATGGAGTGAAGTTCATCAGAATAACTGCGGTGGTGACCTTCCTTTGGCTTGAGGGGGAGAAGAGGGGAGATGGTGATCACTGTTCATAAGGTTTTGTCTCGAATGTCTTGAATTAGGAAACATCTTGTCTAGATTTTAGGTCTTAGAGCTACTTAGAGCTCTGAGAGCTACTTCTCTATAGAGAAATTTTCTGTAGGCTAGCATTATACATGGCTAGTCCTCCTTCATTAGCTTTGTCAGAAACTGTTAAAATGACTAGTTACTGCCCATTGTCCTAATGAGAAATTACTTAAGTGTGGCAGAAAGGAGCACTTGAAGCATGAACTGGCAAAGCTGGCTGCAAGAGGAGCTGTAATTTACAGGTACCTCAGCAGCGAGTGTTGGCCCACTTCCCTCCAAGCATTTTCAATAACTTTGCATCAACTGAATTATAAAACATTACTGGTTGTTTCTCTTGTAAAGCCTGAAGAAATGTTGCTCAGTGTGGGACTAATACTTGCTTTTGCAGATACAGAACTGCTTATTTTTAGTACTAATTAAAAGACTAATATCTATTGATTGTTTTTATGTTGTAAGCCTGTAGCATAACCTTGTCAGAGATCTTTCCATGTGGACGTAGTAAAAATATAAGAATAAAGTCTTTGTTTCTCTATTCCGAGAAGCCTCTGTCAGTAAAATGCTTATCACATGAAGCTCACTTGGATATCTCAGTACTTTAACATAAAATGTTCTTTTCATAAGCTTAATTCTTTCATTTAGAAACAAAACTAAAAAAAGTCATAAAAGCAAAGCTGACCTTTATTCTATCATAAGGTTGTAACAGCTTGCTAAAAGGACTTTGAAGAGTCTCTGCAAGTGAAAAGGGAGCTGTAACGCTTTTTTGTGGTAGCTTTCATGACTCTTAGCCTATGTTCTTGTCTTTCTTCTTGAGTCTATCAAGTGCTTTGCGCTAGTCCTTGACAATTTTGATGCTTTTGTTTGTATCCCTTAGATTCTAGTAATAGATCAACTGATGAACTGAATTTACATACCCAATTTACTAACACTCCTGATTATTTGAAAGCTTGTATCTTGCATGCCTCCAGCTTGTCTGAAAGTTGACTTGTATCTGCCCCTCCAGCTGCTGGAGCAAAAATACTCTGTTTTATAAAGTTGCTTCCTAAATACTGTAAAAGAGTACACAGTGAAAGGCAGACTTGGGACTGTGTTAGTACTTAAGCTGTGTCACTTTGCAGTGTCTTGCAAGCTGGAAGGGGAATGAACAGGAGGATCCCTCTCACAGCTATCTTTTCTTTTGTCCACAGAACGTGTTGAAGAAGAGAGACCAAGTTCAAGCGGAGTACGAAGCAAAACTGGAAGCAGTAGCCTTGAAAAAAGAAGACCGTCCAAAGGTTAGCACTTCAAACTCCTCTGCAAAAACAGCCTGCACTTCCACTGCTTTCTGAGAACAGTGAAGAAATAGAGCTTGGTTTGTCTGGTTCTGACTTCCTCTTTGCAGCGTAAACACTATTGGGCAGAACAAGAGTTTGGTGGCAAGCTGGTGCAGAATGAAGACCTAGGTATGAACATATATAACCTAGTCTAGCAACCTCTTGTACCACCATCTCCCACCATTTAGAGTAGGGTGGCTCTGACCTGCGTAATGTTTAAACAGCCAGCATGCAGTTGGAGTCTTCAGTAGCATGGCCTGAAACAGTGATAGTAGAAGAATCTCTGGCAATTTAGTGCTATGGCAGCTGGCTGAATCGAGTTCCTGGACCCTGGCACTGCTGAGTTATGTTGTAGGACACCAAATTTGATTGTGAGAGACTCCACATCTTGCCCCTTCTGCTAGGTGGGTATTGCCATGTCATGTTGAACATACAAAGCAGGTGTCAGGGGGTGACAGGCTTTGGCTGGGCTTCATGCAGAAGCAAAGGTCTAAACTGGTGTGCTTATGCTGCCACCTGCTTTTTGCATGAAGAGATGTGCAGGAGCTGTATCTTAAATCACTGCAACTTTGACCAACAATAAAAGCAGGATTTTTCTGCTCCCTCTGCTTGTTTTTTTTGGCTCTCCTTCATTTTAGTGGTAATGAGTGAGGGATGACTTCCAAGCATTAGAGTTACTGTATAATAATCTTTGAGGAGGTTCAAGTCTTTATTAAATATCGTGTCTTTAATCTATTTTTGAAGCTGAAGAGGACAGACCACAGAAAAGCAAACTTTTTTCCAGTTCTGTGCTTGTGTATGACACAGATGCTGTCAAAAGTAGTACCAGGATGGCTTAGATATCTTGTGCTCTTGTATTTCTATATCTTGTCTGCCCCACTGCTGGCTGGGTTGATATGTACTTAATATAGTTTTATGTGAGCACATCTTCTAACCTGTTGTATATAGGATGGATGGATCTAAATCTAGCATGTCCAGGAGCCAGTTGAGGTGTTTAGACGTGTTTAGATATTTGATTTTTGTAAAGATCTCAGTATGGTGGAGCTGCTGAACTTTGCTAATCCCTCACCTACTAAAAGGTTTTTGAAGCTCACTTCACAGTGGAATTACTAAGTAAAGTGCCACATTTGAAGAGCTGTCTAAGAATTTTTGGAATGCTTAGGTTTGCTCTCCGGAGTGTCAGAAGCATATGTTTTGGTAACTCCTTGTACCTTTCTTTCATAGCATAAGACCTTTATGTCATTTAAAATGGGAAGCTGAACAAATTATTAGAATTCCTTGCATGCTTGCAAAATACTAGCTCACAGTTCTCAGATCCTTGCCACTTTGGGTGGAATGTCCTCATGTCTAAGAACTGATAGCTTAGAGCTGTTGCTAGCAACATGTTTTAGATTCAGTGATTTCTCCAGCTTAAGACTTGCTAAAAGCAGACGGGACGCATGAGCTGGGTTATGCAGTGAATGGCATTTGTGTCCCTTTCAGCATATTTAGCTGATTTGGCAGAAATTAAGAAGAAAAAAAGAGGGGGGCAGCGACTAGTTTTGGATAAGTAAATACGGGCATATTATTGTTTGTTTACCTCTTCTACTGGAGGGCATTCTGGGACTCAGAGTACACACAGGTCAGACTGGCTTCATAGAACTCCACTGATGTCATTTGATAGTTCTCAAATCTGATTAAAAACTTGTCAGGCTATAAATGCAAAAGGCTTGTATAGCTACTATAAATGTTTGCCAGCAAATACCACTCAGAATGATAGTTTCCACCAAAATCAGAGTATAGCTTCTTCTGTATGCATGATGCTTTTAACACTAGAGTAACAGCATTAGTGCAAACTGTACCCTTTGTATTTCTAAACAAGTACAGTTGAGAAGTGCTGCTTACTTTATTGCTGATAGACTGGAGCTGTTTTTGCAGTAATCCAACTAAGGTAGTAAATTGCAGACATTGTTTCCTTTTAATGAGATGAAATCCACTTTTAATGACCTAATTTAGCTTGCCTGCCTCAAGGATTTGTAGTTTTGTTATCTGTGGGAACAGTTGTTATGGCAGTATAGACTCTGAAGTAGAAGATAATGACGTGTTTAGGGGGGGGGGGGGGGGGAAGAAAACAGCTTCTTCTAACAATGTGTATATCCAAAGAACTGAAAAGGTAGAAATACCATGTATATGTATATATAGTTACAGTCCTGAATAGGACCAGTGTGTGTGCAGATTCTTCACGAGGCCTATGGAGACTTAGTTGGAGTTCATTGCTATAGTTCTGTATGCTTTATAATTTTATCATATGCCAAACTGCAAGGTAGTAGTAAACTCCTAACTTCTACCCGTGAAGAATTTTTATATAGTCTGTTCATCTTCTTCCTTTTTCAGGAAAAAAAAGGCAATTTCCTAAAAGTATCAAGCACAACAGGAGCCATAACAGATTTCTGCAAATATTCTTTGTGTTGCCCTTTGTCTTTGTGCAGTTCACAGTTTCCAAGTCTAAGCTTGCTAGTCACATTGATGTGAGTAGTGGACTTCAGGGGTTTCCTCTTTGGATGTCTTGGGCTCAGCATGCGTGTATTGGCAAGCTTCTTGTCCATGTGGACCATATGGCACAAGGAGAAGGAAGAGAATGGTGTTTGTGATTTTCCTTGCATTTGTAAATTGTTCCTGTATGTGCCTGGTGGCATACAGCACATTGGTTAAGACAATAGGGTATGGAACACAAGTCCTGTGAGGAGTGGCTGAGGGAAACGGGATTGTTTAGTCTGGAGAAGAGGAGGCTCAGGGGAGACCTCATTGCTCTCTGCAGCTGCCTGAAAGGAAGGTGTGGGGAGCTGGGGGTCTTCTCACAGGTAACCAGTGATAGGACCAGAGGGAATGGCCTCAAGTTGCACCAGGGGAGGTTCAGGTTGGAAATGAGGAGACATTTCTGCTCAGAAAGAGCAGTCAGGCACTGGGACGGGTTGCCCAGGGAGGTGGTGGAGTCACCGTCCCTGGGGGTGTTCAAGGAAAGATTGGACGTGGTGCTTGGGGACATGGTTTAGTGGGTGACATTGGTGGTAGGGGAACAGATGGACCAGATGATCTTGGAGGGCTTTTCCAACCTTTATGATTGTATGAATACCATTTTCTTTGACCTAACTTGCTTCTATCTTGAGGTCATGACTAGTGTTGTAAGCCTTTTCAGTCGCTGTGTAGACCTGCAATGTTTGTCCTTCCAGATTTCTCGCATTGCTTACGCATGACTACAAGTTCAGTGTTGGGCCAGTTGAAATCATTTGGGCCAAATGAGTCAATGCCTCCAGTTGCCTTTGTGTTATTATCATCAGTGCTTTGCATTTATACTTTTTTACAGGCAGCTTGTAAGGTTAAAGCTAGAGGCTTAGAAATTTTGTTCTGCAGACAAAGCTGATCACTGCTGTTTTTCTGTTGTGGTCAGTATCTAACTCTGAAGTCTCTCAGCTGTTTGGGAGAAACCTGGGTCTTTGTTGCTTCGCTAGTGAAGACTGGGAAACACCTAGTGAAAGGTGTGAATGGGAAGGAGGAGAGGGGGCTTGCTGTGGTCAGTCTGCTCAGATTGAGAACTAGGGACCGAGCCTGTGTGCTCAGCACTTGTACAGATTGCCTTTCCTCTTCATGTGCCTCCAGCAAGCTCTTCCTCAGGCTGTCTCTGTATCTGGCATGGAGTGGGACAAGCAGAACTGCCAGCCACCTCGAACAGCAAAGAACAAATTAATCAGTCCTGTCTCCTTCCTAATACAGAACTGGGACTTCTCCCTGCAGCCATAACTGAGTTCCTTCAGGGTAACCACTAGACTGTTACTTCCCCTTTTCTCTGTGGCTTTTTCTCAGGGAGACTGAGCTGATTTAGCAGTCTAACCCTCTCAACTACAGTTTCAATCTTGATTTATTTTCCTACAGGTACCCACAGATGTTGAGAAATGTCAAGACCGAGTAGAATGTTTTAATGCTGACCTGAAAGCAGATATGGAGAGATGGCAGAACAACAAGCGACAAGACTTTAGGCAGCTACTCATGGGGATGGCAGATAAAAACATCCAGTACTACGAGAAGGTATGTGGTGCTGCTGTAGCACTGGCAGGAATAAAAGTGATTAATTTTCCTCTAAGGTGGTGATTATTCTTCAGAAAATGTTCATGCTGTCTTGCAGCAAAGAACCTTGGACATCTTAAAGCAGTTCTTAAGTGCTGTGGAAGCTGCTCTTTGTCAGCAGCTTATATGGAGTTGTTGGTCACGCTCAAGAGATCTGCATGAGATCAGCAGTCTCTTGCAAGGCAGTCGTGTAACAGTACTTTGTACTGGATGCTTGTCTGTCTTGGTTCTCAAATTGAACAAATTGTTGATCAGCAGTAGTTTGCTTCCTCGGTGGTGGTGGTGAAGGAAAAAGACTAAAATTGCACGTTCTAGTAATACTATAAAACTAGATAATCTCTCAATTCTGCCTTTCGTGAATCAAACTGCATACATTAATGAGCTCCGTGGACCTGTATATAGGTAACACCTGCTATGGCTAGGCCTGGAAATACCTACCGAGTTATACCTTTGCCCTTTCTGAATTTCAGTATTTGTGCTCTGATTAAATGTCAGATGATTTCCTTTTAAAGTGAAAGGAGTTGAAATGCTTATGCTGGCAGTCCAGTTTTCCTTCGTGCGAGAAGAACAATGTTACCAAATCCACATATCAATATATTAAACAAACAAAAAAACCTTACTAGGTGTATGCATGGTGACATGCCTCATGTTTTTGCCCACTGCAGTTTTTCCACATGTACTCTGCAAATTTCTTCCTGTCCTAGGTTACTTCTCCATGTAATGTACTAGTTTGCACTTCCTTTTCCCTTTCCAATCAATGTCTGTCCTGTCAACAATTCATAATGAACCATGCAAACTTCACTTCACCCAGCTTTCTTCCCTGTTTTGAGACTGCTGAGGTATTAAAGACTGCACTGAACATCTAGTAGTATCCCGTCAGTTTTGCTCTTGGCTGCAGCAAAGAAGCTTCTTGGTAGGAAAGTATCTAATCTCTATAGGGTACACAGCTAGAAACACTCCATTCATTTTCAGTACTATCAACAAGATCTATCAAGGTGATGCTTGACAACAAGAGCTGGTGATGAATTTGACCTTTCCCAGTGTTTAATAAAATGTATTTCATGGTCTGCGCCCATTTTGACTCCTGGGCTCTTCACTGGTGGAAGACAGTAAAAAGATGCATTGCCGAGGACCTGGAATTAAGTATACACATCTGAGGAAATTACTCCAAAGTCTGGAGAGCCCTTATACTAGCACAGAAACTAGGCTTTGCTTTAATTTTATTATACCAGGCAATAAACAGTTAGTCCCATGAAGTATAGTCAAGTCCCTGAGATGTACTGGGGTACACTGTGCCTCTGAATTACCTGCCTTAACTGCATAGATTTTGCAAATAACTTTGCTGGGCTGCTGCTATAATAGCTGCTATTGTGTCCAAAATAGCGCTCTCCCACAGTCAGACCACAAATGCGAACTTCTACAAGAAACAGATTGTCTGCCTAGCTGAAAGCTGTGTCCTTCGCTTCAGAAGAATCCAGCTGATATTTGAAAACTGTAGGTATTCTGATGCATTCTTAATAGCTTGGTCCAGCCAATGACTTTGAAAAGCTTTAATTTGCTTCTTTTGTTTGTAAATTGCAGCTGTTCTTTCTGAACACTTCTCTTGCTGTTTGAGCTTCTGCCTTTTTCCTCATGAAATAATCAATAAAGATTCTGCTAGCCTTTCTGAACTTGCACTCTGTTGGTATGGAAAGGGTGGGTCAAAAATTACAAGGACTGATATGCCATCTGCATTTTTAATCTTTGGTTCTTCCTTCAGTGCCTTACGGCGTGGGAGTCAATTATACCACTATTGCAAGACAAGCCAGAGACCAAATGAGAAGTACCTTCATGGACAGCCTAGCACTTCCGTGCTCAGTACCACTAGACATACTGGAACTGTGTGAAGGACTCTTCTTTGTCACATTAACTGAAAAGCCAGCTGTGCTGAAGCTGGAACAGACCCTCTGAAAACTATTCAAATTTTTCCTCATTTTCTGTTTAAACTGGGGTATGTTTCATCTTTCTGAGTTATCTTGAATGGTTCCTTCTCTATCCTATGGAGTGATATGGGGCTTATAGTGAAAGTGCATGGGGATCATAAAACTTACCTCTTTAGTCTGGAAGGAACTGATGAGTAGAACACTAAAAAGATGAAAATAAAACTCTACTGCAAGGTGCCAAATGACATCTTTATTACCTTTCTGTTTTGTTTGCTGAAAAGGTAATAGTTCCCATGATACAGTACCCCCTAACCAATCCTTATCTCTTTTTTTGGATGGAGAGGGAAAGAGTGGGATTGAATATTTTCTGGTTTGCTACCACCGACGTATGCTCCCGTTAAAGGGTTTCTGGAGACTTTTCTGTGTGGGAGTTGGGCTGGTCCTAGACAGAGCATACTGACACCACCTGCACATAGCCTGTGATACAAGCATGAACTGTGGTTTTTGTGAGTGTGGCATGCTGTTGGTTCATACTGAGTATCTTTGTTTACCTTGGTGATTATGAAGTAATGTCAGTTGGCTGAAGTGTACTTGTGACCGATGTGGGGATCAAAATCAGCCTGGGTGTGGGAGTGAATTGAACAGCAGCCTTTCAGGGCTTACGGGAATGGTGGAAACAAATACGAGTTTTTGGTATGTATTTTCTAAAGGTAGCTCTGGAAGTTGCATGGTAGAATTCTCTTGAACCATGCTACCATTTCTTTTTTGTTTCATTTTTCCTGAACTACAGCCTCTGTGGGCTTGGTTACTTCAGGTGCCTGCTGTGGTAAAGAAGGTAGAACTGTTTTCTCTCCCTGTTGGTTTTTTTTTTTTTTTTTTTTTTCATTTTTCTTCAGTAGCAATCAAAAGCCAAAAAGTGTCAAATGCTTGCCTGCAGCAAGCATCATTGTGTGTGTGAAACTTGCCTTAAACAGGTCCGTGGGGGTAGATAGGTATCCTATCAGGTACACATAGTGTCCAGAACTATCTCTACTGAACCACATGGCAAGTCTTTTAAGACTTCTTTTGGTACAGATCTATTTTCCTAGTAGTTTTTATTGGCCCTTAGAAATGTAACTGCTTCTGCAAGTCCCTTCTCTTTTCTCTTGCAGTCCAGCCTCAAATAAATGCCTGCTTAGTGTTAATGGCCTTAGTAGAGGAATGCTTTCCTGATGGGTTTCAGAGTCATGGTTTAACAGCATGCAGATAAAACTCCTTTTATCCATCCAAAGTGAGGAAGCTAATACCAGGGTAGTGTTGGGATTTGGGGGAATAAATAACATGGAGTTCTTACTGCTAAACTTGAGTGATTGCTTGGTCTCTGGCAACGTTCTTGTGAAGAATCTGAAAGGTGACCGGGTATATGCAACTTCTGTGTTCTCCTGTGGCTACTTGTCAGGTACACTAATCTGGATTGCACTTTGTCCCTTCATAAACACCAAGTCTGCCTGAAACTCCCCTGCTCAGCACGGTGGCTCTGCAGCAGCTGTCACGGTGAGTTGTTGGTGCAATGTGGTTGCTGTCGGGCTAATGAGGTAATACCCTCCAGGTGCAAAAGCCAGGTTTAAGACATTTAAGGGGTTTTTCCTTTTTGACTCAACTTCCATTGACAGTTCTCTGATAGTTAACCACACTGTGCTTTTTGATTTAAGTTCACAGCTCATTGATGTACACTTCTGTGGTGTAAAGAACTCTAAGTTGCTGTTAGGTTTGGAACAACTAACTACTCCTACTGTGCAAGGGGAATGCTTAAAGAGATCATCTTGAAGCCGTAAACTAGTGTCTTCCTCAATCTCTCCCTTCTAAAATAAGCACTTCTAAATGCATAACACTTTACAGTTTGACCTTCAGGGTTACAGTCAATTCCTGTCTTCCCTATTTCCCACATACAGATCATCATGCTTTTTTGAGCTGGTGCCTGTGTGGTAACTGAAGCTTTTCAGTTGACTCTGCAACATGACTGGGAGTCAAGCAATGCATAATTTGAACTTGTATTTAGACGTTCTTTCTTCCACCTCATCAAAAATGTGCAAGATGAGTGGAGAGAGTGTTGTTTTCCTGCAGGTGCATAGGTTTCGTCTGATATCTTACAACACTGACATCCCGTTCCCACTTAGTGTTGTGTCAAACTGAAATGTGGCTTGGTTCTGGGGAATGTAGGAGTGGACATCACAGCTGTTCACAAGAAGTGCAAGGGGCAGTGGGGAGTTCCAAGTGAAGTTTACATGAGTTACTGCTGGAGTGGTTCAAGATCAGCTTAGATTTTCTTTAACATGATGCCACTGATAGTGCATCGTGGTCTCTAAACTACTATGAGACCAAAGTATGTGTTGATTTCAGATAAATCCCTTTCTGATTGAGCTGTTGAAAGGCAAGCATGATTTACACTTCCTGGTTGCAATATGTAGCTCTGTAGCACCTGCAAGCTAATTTGGAGGAAAGGCTGGAACATACACCTCAGGCTGTGGTCACAAACAGGATTTCTTATATTATCTGGGAAAGTTAAACTTCTCAGACATCTATGGAGGAAGTAAAACTTATGTTCAAAAGAGAAGTCCTCTGCAAGAATTGCTGTAGTGTAAGACGAGTGTATAGGGGTGGGTCTTTTAGCTCCTATGGGTCACTGAGGAGTCTCTATTAAAAAAAGAATTGTTGCTGTAAATACTGGGTAACTGTGGGAGAGACTGGGGTTTGCGGCAGCCGTGCAGAAAGGGAGAACTGCAAAATAGCAGGAAACTCTTTAAAGGTGTAAAGAGTGCACTTAATTGGTGTTTGTGTGAGGTTAAGATCTGAGGTGTTGGTGAAACTCTGACATGTTATTGTGTAGTCCTTATGTGGTGGGTGTCTCTCTCTGAAGTACGCAAACCTTTATAGTGTGAAAAGCAAAAGATGTTGGGGAAGGGAAGCAGGAGTAGGGCAGGAGCTTTATCTTTTGGGTACTGTCTTGAGAGTTCAGTCACTTATGGTCACCTTCTGTGCATGCACTGAAATCATGATAAAAGTAGTTGCACCCTTTCAATGAACCTACTTAAGATGAGGGTCCTTCAACAGCTCTTAAATTAGCTTGGCTTCCCACAGCCAAACCAAGATCCTCGCAGAGGATGCGTAATTCACCGCTGTCCTGGTTACTCCTGCATAACTTTTAGTGTGTTTGTTTCTTCTCTCAACTGGCACCAGCACAACAAAGCAAGCACTGAGATCTTGTTTTTGTACTCAGTAAGGAGCTGTGCATTGTTCATACGTGTTTTTATCAGGTTTTGACTCTTGCAATAAACAAATGTTGAAACATCACGGCTTTTTCAGGTATCTGTTGAAAAATGAAACAGTGATGAGTGTTAGCCCTAAAGATACTAACTCTTCAGACGTGAGCTTTAACAAAGAATAAACTATGGATTCTTCAAAGTTGTCTGCTTGGATTTTTGTTGCACTGACAAAATGCTAAGGGTAGCACAGTGGGCTAAGCCAAAAAGAAACTTCCACAGAGTGGCAGAGATGCTCCTGCAGATGTGCTGTGGGGTAGCCTTGTGGTGGTGGATCTGCACAGCCTCTTCGTGGTGCATGTTGCTTCAGGTCGCATCCTGCAGCTGCCAATTACAGAATTCCCTCAGAGCACAGCAGGAACTGCTCCTGTTGTAACAGGAGGCATGATTTTGTTAAAACCTAAGTAACTGTGCACGAGGTTGCAGACTGTTTGAAATCTAAGACACTGGTGCTGATAACCACTAAGCAAATGGTGTAGACAGGAGTAGACTAAAGTAGCTCATTAGATGTTCAGTCTTCTTAAACTCCGATGGTAGAACAGTCTTTTCCTTAGTATGTTAGCCTTTTACTACAAAATAACCAGTAAGTAGGGAAAATGGGGTCACTTTCTGAGATAGAAGACTTGCTACCAAATTTATTTCGGTGAAGGAAAACTGGGGATAATAGTAATGAACTTGCCTTCTGGGACTGTGAAGGTTGCATTTTAAAGTTTCTGGGGGTGCTGCTTAACCAATTATAAAGAAGGAAGTGGTGATGCTTAATTCCACACAGCACTTCAGAGCCTTGCTGGGGTCTCTGATTTGTGCCAGTACTCAGTAATGAACTGGGCTAGTTTTAAGGTTGTGTGGCTGAGGCACAGTACTTGTCCAGAAGGTAATGCACTTTCTGAAAATGCATAAATACATTGCCCTTATGCAAGTGGTATGCTAAAACTTTAAAGGTTACTCACTGTCCTGGATTACTTTGAAGTCCTCGGTACTCTACACTTTGAAGCTAAATCCTTTCCTGAACTCTGCTGCTGGATTATATGTCCACCTCTTTGGATCAGACAGCAGAGCTTGGGCCAGTGCCACTCTCCCACCACACAGGGGCACAGATTGCAGAGGACAGTCTTACAACAGAGAACAGCCAAAGGTTTTAGTCTTTAGCACATGAGAATAAAGGAGCACTGTCCTTGTTCTCCTTTCCTGTGTGATGTGTTGATCTGTCACTCCTCAAGGTTTGGAGACCGGCAATGCAGGTGAAAGCAGTCTGGCTTTGACCTGGTTCCCACCTCTCTCCTTGTTCAAGGAGTCAGTGCTGATGACTGAACTGGTGCTGACTTGTTGCCCCAACTGTGCTACTTCTGACTTGTGCAAGCCCGTGCACTGGAACATGTTACTTTGCATCCTAAGGTCACCCTTGTACCACCAAAAAACAAACTGAAAGCTGTGAAAAGACGTGTCTCTGTGTGAGTTAGGTCATTAAACAGTGTAAAACTTGGAGCAAGGCTCTTGTTTCATGCACTCAACCAACTCTGACAGCTGTGCTCTTGTTCAGACTCACAGGTTACGGAATGTTGTCTTGACTTACGGTGCTGGCATGTTTCTATACCCTTTCATATATCTCTGTATAGATATACTTTGTGCATTGTTTACTATGGAACTAGTATTGATGGAGAAAAACACTTCGAGGTAAAACTGTTTGTAATTCTCTATTCGTGTGTACATTTTTTTAAAATGCACCATTTGTTTACCTCAATTAATTTAATGGAATGGACCAATAAATGTATTAAAAAATTACTCATTTACCTAGAATTTAGTGTTTCTTTTTTTCTTCTTTTTTTCTGCCTTTGCCACTGAAATTATGCGTACACTTATTTTCTGTGAAGCTTATTATCTTATTTGAAGAAATATCCTTCCCTTAAAGGCTTGTTCCATTGCCAATATAAGCTTTAGGGGTGTGAACATCTACTGAGGAGTGTTTTTATTGTAGGGATTACAAAAATGTACCTTAATCTTACATCTTTTTACCATGTTTTTTCTGTATTTCAGTAGTCTTCTCCATAAGATCAGTCAGCTGGGCTGACACTCTTCACACTTGTCCATACTTTGTGTCAGAAAGTAGGCACATCCTGCTGACCACCGTGCACACACTGCAGGCTGCTTGTGGACACCTGCCTCAAAAGCCACAGTCACAGCACTGTCCTCAGGTTTCAGACCAAAGAGACGAGAAGAACTACAGCTGATGCTTTGCTTTCCCCTTCTAAATTGGATGATGTGCCTGGAAACACCCTTGTCACTTCTACCTTGTTCTTGTCTGTCTCCGCTACTGCCAAGTAGCCTGGAGTGGAAGCAGGGTGCTGTGGAGACTGCTGGTGTTCAACAGCCGGTGCATATTGTCTGCAAAATAACCTACTGCAAAAATAACAGGGCAAACTTCTTTGTCCTGGGTAAGCTCAATGGCTGAGGGACTGTGGCATGCTGTGAGGTGAAGACATGGATGAGATGGTTCCTGTAATGAAGGCAGTGGTAGGGACAAATGCTTGGAAGCCTTCCACACGCATTGCTCAGGGAACTGATCAAGACCAAAAGATGCTTTCGGTGGTAAAGCTTCTGTCATTTGGTGAGAATCTGAAAGGAGCCAGTGGTTGAACGTTGTTTGATGGCCACAATGCTGTGAAGAACAATAAAAACGCTGATTACAAGAGGGCTACCAAACTATTTTCTCAAAATACAGTTTGCATGTTCCTTACTAAATCTTTAGCTTAAATTTTGCTGTGATGTCTGGAGCTAGCTGAGTGTTCATGTACTTCCCTTCAAGAGTCAGCCAGCTTCTCTGTAAGCTACCACTGTAAGTACAAGCCATGAAGCTGCCACCGTTTGTTGCCTTTCAGATTTTTGTAGAATCACAGTACAACCCACGTACTTCAAAAGACCATCAGGTCCAATCTCTCACAGGGAAAAGAGAGCCTAGGTGAGATTATCTAGCACCCTGTTCAACCACGTCTTGCAAACCTCCAGTGATGGGGATGCTACCTTGTCCCAGAGGTGGTTGTTCCAGTAATGGACTGTTCTCACTTGAAAAAAAAAAAAAAAAAGTCTTTCTTGTATCTTACATATTTTTTCCCAGTACCTATGTTTGTGCTTGTAATGACTGCTTGTACTGGGAGTGTGTGTGGTAAAGCAGCTGAGCAGCTTGCAGTGACTCACTGTTAAACAGTAGGGTTATGTTTAAGAAATGATGAGTTAGAAAATACAAGGAGAAACTTTAAAAATTGAAATCAAACTTGACAAGGGTTTTATCTGGGATCAGATGTTAGCTGTCTTACATCTGAATGAGAGTATCGCTGCATAGATTAGATATTGGCATTATTACATTTCGTATTATCTTCATGGGGTCCTGCTGTTTCTAGTAATATATCCAGCTGGAGGGGTTTGGGGAAGGGGTGGTGAGCAAGGGGATATTTACAGGGAGATCCTTTAAAGACTCCAGAAGAGTAGATGGAGGTGTTTCAGATTTCTCTCTTTAAATTATCTGGGATTGCACTTAAAACTTGTTCTTGAAATTTTAACTCTCAGTCACTCTTCAGCTGTACAATTGGGCAATCTCACTGGATCAGAAAAGTAACCATTTTCTTTACTGTATCATAATGATTTACCTTTGAAAGAAACACCCAAGGGAGACTCAAACTATTCTGTCACAATGAGTAAGTAACCCGTAATGGATTTTCAAAAAAAAAAAAAATGTTTTACTTTGTGTGGGATTATTCCCTTTCTACTTAGTACTATTTTAGCAATATCAAGCATGGCATTTGTGCAGAGGCTTTGTCCCCTGGGATTATTAGCTCTTAAACTCTGCCAAATATTCCTCCTACAAGCAATTCATAATACATCAAACAAAAAGAAGATTAAAAACAGTGGCTATATCACTTGAAAGCTTAACTCTTTGAACCTTCTTGGTACTTGTCACCTCTTTTCCACAGAATTTTTGTTTTGTTTTACTTTTTGAGTCCTTTCCTTTTTTTTTTTTAATCCAAAACCACTTTTCCTTTTCAAATCTTTATTGTACACATAATACCTAGAAACATGAAGCAAGGAGAAAACATAACATGCCCCTTCAGAGACAACCATTCCTGTTCCTTACCTTAAAGGGAGGAGGCTGAGGCAGCCAGCTAGAAAAGACAAAATGAAACAGAAGCTGCTGTACCAGTTCAGTGTGCTTTGATAGATTTTGTTGAAGACTGTAGATGTTACTACTCCTGTGATGACTAAGGACAACTGCAGCAGGACAAACACCTTACCTGTAAAACAAGAACATCATTTATCATCAGGGAGAAAAGAAAAAAAAAACCTGTTGCGGTACCTCCCTGCAGCATTCAGGTGCCACCACTACCATGGCTTGGAAAAGCAATGTAGTCATGGCTTAACGAGTGATGGATTGCATGAGCTTGTTTCTGCTGTTGTTCTGGAGCAGAATTAAGTGTCTCTTCCTTCTTTAAGGCATAGGACAAAGACGTAGCTTGAAAACTGTTTGCTTAAACAGTCTAGATGTTGAGGTTGCTGCTTGGAAGAGCAGCCAGAAACTGGGAAATAACTGCTCATTTCCATAGGATATAGGAAAGAAGTTGTGGGTTAATGTCTTCAGGATGTGAGAGATTTCAGGCAGGGGCTGCTTCTGCCATAGTGCAGAAGTGCTGTCCTTTGGGCTGAAATGTTATAATGCCTCAAATGGGGAGCTGTGTGTGGTCTGTGTGATGTTTATGGAGGAGGAAAGGGAGAAATTGAATCCCAGCTGGGAATCACCATTTTTGCTTAAGTGCACCATTCAGTTTCTAACATGGTAAATGGGGAAAGAGAGGGCAACCCAGCCCTCCTGGAACGTGCAAACTAGGAGCACATTTAGGGTTGTGCACCAACCCTGCTGCCCTTGAAGACTGCTCCACATGCACAGTGCCAGTGGCCACCGGCTGAGGAGGCAATGCTGTTCTGCTGCACTGCCCTGCTTGTGAACTGCTCTGTTCATGCAATCAGGTGCTGCATGCATGGCTTATGGTGGAGGTTAAAGACAAAAGATGCTGATTTTTCAATGACTGAAGAACATGATGATTAATTTTGGGTGTGAGCTGCATGGTTTGTGGCAGGGATGTGAGCTTGCTACAGAGGAACAACAGCAGTAGGAATGAACTGGTGACAGAGCACAGCTTTCACGTGACTGTTTCTTATATTATTCTCCGATGCAAGGATAGTGAGCTCGGGTGTTGAGCAGTAGCACTGCAAGTTAATTTCTTCATCTGCTTGATCGCATTTGTAAGCTATCCAGACAAAAAATGCTGCATGGTAACCCTCTGTTGAGGAAAAATGAATGTAGCACTGGATGTCAGGTGGGGGTTTTAACTTACTGTCTTGGAAGCGGTTAGCTCTCTGGAACTGTGTCCCCACACTGTAGTGGGGCTGCACAAGCAGCCTGATCAGCAGTGAGCTGGATGGATTCTGCTCCTGGTTTTGAGATGTGGCAGAAGGGAAAGGATGCAATTGGAGTAAAAGGAAGCCATTGGAGTAAAAATAGCAGCCTCCAATATGATGTTGTAAAATACACACATTTCATTATTTTCTAATGCAAAGTTAATAGAAAAATTAGGAATTGTTTCTCCTCTTGAACAAAAGGGGTCATTTTCTTAGGCAAAATTTATTCTTTGTTAGTTAAATTATGTTCTGACAGGAACAAATTGCCAAGAAAAGCTTGGAAGCATATTTAGAGACCGTAACGGAAAAAGATTAAAGAAATCCATTCTTCTGAAAACTGGAAGTAAAACAAGCCAAATATAAATGATGTGAGTGTCACTGTGCTTCAGCCCAGCATTGCCTTGTTTTTCCCTGGAGCACTGTGTTTTTGAGCAGTACCTCAGATATTATTTTCCCTGCCTTTGAGCTGCACACTGATAGTAATCTCTTGAAGCATGTTCTGAAAATTTTGTGGATAAATGATGAAGCAATTAGGGAGGAGAAGTTTGGATGTGACAGGCTGGTCCTGCAAGATTCTCTGCTCCTCCCTGTTTGCAGTACCAGCTGTTCTGGTTTTATGATGCAATGCACAGGCTGTAGCACTAACTTAACTTTCTTGTACCCAAATGGAGGGATTTGGCAGTTTTTTGATCAGAGAGGTAACCGATGTACTCACCATAGGATGATCCTTCAACATGCTTGGATAGCATGGACCTGATGGTTGGCAAGGGGATGAGGGCAAAGAGCATCACTGCCCGTGCTGCAATGCAATGAACACGTGGTTATCATCAGTAGCTGCTCCCTGTCTCATAACACAGCAACCACTGCTTTTGAAGGCTGCATGCCTCTGGCTTGGGCAGGGCCTTTGCTTCACCTTGTCATGTCCCTTGAGCCTCAGAAACTAGTACTGATCTTCAGTAGGAGTGCAGCTCCTTGCTTCATCCGGGAGGTGGTGGATAAGCCACCGATTGCTGCAACTAGCAGAGGCACTTTGCCCCAGCCAGCCATGGCCTCTGGGTCCCAGCCCCAAATCCCATTGTATCTTTAGAGAGCACTGTCCTTTGTGGTAGTGAGGTGGATGACGCAAGTCTGATGCTATGCTAACAGCTTTGACAAGAACAGTATACTCATAACACCATGTTTTATCTCATGGTGCTTTTGGCCTGCAGTATTTTAGGCTCTCTCTACTGTGAGCATACTTGTTTAATTTTTGATTTCTCCTTTCCTGTAGGCACAAACAGAAAACCTCTTTGGCTCATTTCTCTTAGACTTTTTTTTTTTTTTTTCTCACTTTCAGAAACAAGACCCAAAAGCCATGCAATGTATGATACTCTTTCTGTTAGTCAGGTATGAATCACCCATCTCACTGCCACGAGGGATGCTGTTCTTGGTTTTTGGCTTCCTGTGTTCTTGTGGAGGCTATCTCCCAAAAATAAACTTGCCTTTCCTTCGTCACAGGATGCTGCCACATCTATTGTTACCCATCCCTTGGTCATTTATATATAGTGTGAGATTTGTATAGTTCATTCCCGTAATATTTTAGTTGCTAGAGCAACACCAATGTTTCGCTATTAAGTTTCTCATCAGACATAAAAACCTTAAAGTAACAAAAATAAATCACATCTTAGGATATTCACTTAACAGGAAATCTTTGGCATTTTTTTTCCATTTTAGCTTTAAACCTTACCTCATGAGATGCAAGTGCTTTGTATGGCTGGCTGGTGCTGGTAGCCTGCAACAATTCCTTCCTTTCCCCCCTCCCTCCATTGTGAGCCTTCTTCCCCCACTCAGATCTGGATTATGACCAGGTGACAAATTTCAAGTTAATTAGCTTTAAACCAAGCATTGGCAGGAGCGTGTGCCTCCTTAGGTTGTTGTAGGGTGCTGCACGAGAGAGGTACAGGGTGAGGGCACTGATGCCAGCTCTACTCACCAATGTAGAACAGAAATGTCCACCGCACAAAGACCATGATGAGGACACCAACAGTGAAGGACACCACTCCAATTATGATCATGGTAATGTCCCTAAGGTACTTGGAGAACACGAATACCCCCAGGAAGCTGGTGATGAAGATGGCATACCCAGCGGCATTGCCGTAGCCAATCTGCACAGCATTCCAGCTCAGAGGCTCCCTGAGCAAAAAGAGTGGAAGTACATTCATGGCACCCACCACGGCAAGGTCATAGAGGATTGCTGCCGCAAAGAGGAGGATGATGATGAATTTTGAAGGTGTTACTGGGGCTTTGCTGCTGTTCTCCGAAGGCTGAGCACTCTCTGCTGCTCCTGTGCAAGCTGGTACCTGGCCACCAACCTCCTCTACACCCTTGGCTTTGGCTGTGCAGGAGGGTGCTGACTTGGGGACTATCAGGACAAAAATGCTGTAGAGGAGACAGAAAGCATAGCAAGCGATGCTGCAGCTCACCAGCACAGTGCCCTCTCGATAGCGGTCGCTGAAGCCGACAAAGAGGTAGCCAGATGCCATGCTTCCCAGAAAGCCAGCGAGGCCGTACACCAGCTCAATAATGATCAGCCGTAGAGACCTCCTGCTCTCAGAGGAGCCCAGGGATCCCAGAGCCATGATGCCTGCCCAGAACGTGGTGAAGCCACCCGTTAGCCCATTGAAAGCAGCAGCCCCGTACATCACCTCGATTGGCCAGTCCAGCAGGATCAGGAGGAGCAGGAGAGATTTGGAGCCCAGGTAGCCAAGAAGAGGTAAGCAGATAGGGATCTTCCGATGAACCTTGTCCCCCAGCTTGGACAAGCCGTAGGCTGACACCAGCGGGCTCAGGCCCAGGACGAGGTTGTAGATGATATAAAAATTAGAGACAGCCTTCTGCTGAGCATCTTGCATTAAGTGAGAGGGAGCAGTTGAGTTGGTCTGGTTGTAGTAGTTCTTCACCACCAGCAGCAGCGCCGTGTCATAGAAGGCACTGGCCAGTTGGGAGCCTGCAACCACCGGCTCAACCCATGTTCTCATCATCGTCATCCCCACCATGGTGCCGATGGTTGCCTCTTGTCAGGGAAGGAGAAGAGCTGTTTTTCCAGCGAGGCACTGCAGGGAATGGTGTTTTCAGAAGTTCTGCTCTGGAGGCATGCTTGAAGTGGAGAGGCGAAGGGAAAATAAAAGGTCTGCTGGGCTGCACAGAATCAGGGTTGTGCAAGAGAAAATCCGGCTGGGAGGATATTTGCACCTCGCCTCTCTACATATGCACATGCACACACATCCCTATGCTGCTCTGACCTCCAGCTCAGGCAGGAGAGGCTTTTGTACCGATGGAGACGCCCTGCACTCGCTGACTGCTGCTGCTGCTCTTCCTGGTGCCATTTCAACACAGATCATATGACCCGGGGGAATTTCTGTCTCCCACTTTAGGAAGTGAAAATGCCATGATTGTGTGGTTGCAGAATTTATTTACTTTTTTTCCACACTGTTGGCATCCTTCATGTGCCAGAGGACTCTCAGGGAAACAATGCTCATGCTCAGCTGTGGGGACAGGGAAAGGCTGAGTGCTTTTTTTTTTTTTTTTTGCTAGGTAATTCACCAATTCTCCTTCATGCCAGCCCTTTCCCTTTCTTCCACACAAACGTGTGCTGCTGGATCTCTGACTCTCAGCTGCTCCCATCTGCCCTATTGCTACATCACACTCCAATGTTATTTCAACAATACAGCCAGGAAATTGCGCCAAAAAGAAAAAATGAAAATAGAAAAAAAAAAAAAAAGCTATTTTTAGTAACCTGCCTCCCACTCTGTGTGCTTTGTCCTTGGGCTTTACAATGTGGGACTTTCCAAAAGGAGAAGAAAAGCCCCAGTTTATACCAAGGCATCGGCCACTGCTGTACCCCAGCAATCCACAACCGGAGCTGGAAGCTGGGGTGGTAACCCACCTCTGGGAAGGGTTTTTCCGATCCATGTGTCTCCGCAGGTACTGATGCCAGGTGCGGGCTCACAAAGCTGGCAGGCAGCCTCAAGCTTTGCTGCTACCCAGGCTGCCAGTGCCAGGGAAGGTGTATGCGTCCCCGGCTGTAGGAAACACTTGGGGGATACTTGGCAGCCTCAGAAGTACTAACTGAAATGATAATGACCTCACCCTGCGCTGGCTTAGTGAATCATAGCAGGCAGAGTAACAATATGCTCTGGGAAGATTTATGGTGATGACTTTAAAAAATAAATTAATGATTAATTTCCTAGAACAATGTTAAAACCCCCATCTGTTGCACTCTCTCTTGACTCAGGTGGCATCTACTCAATGCCTGTGTACTCATGGCTCAGGAGTTTCATTTTTTCACTCCTACTCCACTTATGCAAAAATTTTTGTTTTAGATTTCAAGTTGAGGAAAAAACAATCCCAAGAGCTAACACAGAAAGTTGCTGGAAATTGTCTGCTAGAATGATTTGCTGCTAGACAATTTCAATTTCACCAGAATTTTTTCTTTTAACAGACCAAAAGACTCCTAGCCAGTTGTAGAATACAGTCTGTTTTGTTCCAACTGTTTTTCTTTTTTTTCTTTTTCCTCATATTTTCTGCAAGAGGTGTGATAGTTTCTTTAGTTTTTGCTCAGAAGTGGGACAAATCTTTTTCTCCAAAGCCTGGAATATTTCCAGAGGATGGAAATTCCAGACAGCCTTACTGAAAACCCCTTGGCAGCAGCCTGGAAACAGTTCAGTCAACAAATGCAACCAGAGGAGTTGCTACGCTTCGCTGCATCCAGGGAGCCCTGTATCTTCTGCCAGACATTAGAGGGAAAGATAAACAGCTTTGTCCTGATCTAGCTTTGATTTGAGATATCGGTTATCTTGGCATGCAGAGGAATGTTATAGGCACTGGTCTTAAGAGCGTGCGGATCTTCTCAGCTATTAAATATGGGATGTTTTCCCTCCACACTTTTTTTTTTTTTTTTGCCTGTACAGGCTGTCTGGCTTATTCATCTGACACTCTTGACATTTAGGTGATACTGTGCTATGCTCAACGCTATTCGGGCCCAGATAGCTAATGAACTGTGCTAAATGCCATTAGTGATCTCATGAGTTACATATATATTTCCAGGATATTCTGAGTGTTCATTCTCATTAAATGTGCCTTTTAGAGCAAGTGCTCATGGAAGGGTATAATTTTATTTCAGCAATTGCAATACAAATGAAATATAAGTTTAACACAGGCCCTAGAATATTTCCCACTGCAAAGCACTTCGCATGAATATCATATTCATCTGATCCCACAAAGATTTCAAAATTGACATTCTTTATGATCAGCTTTTCCGTGAAGCCCAGTTCTCATTTTGCTAATATTTAAAGGGACACTTCTGTCTGCTTTAAAACATTTTTGTGCAGAATTAACAGAATGGGGCCTTCAGAGAGTGGCTCTTGACATTTAATAAAATGCACATACAAAATTGCTGAGACTAGTTTAAAAGCAAAAATACAGATCACTGGAAAAGGACTATGGTGTTTAAGGCATCCCACCCTACAGCCATCTTGCCTGGAGACCCACCTGAGGCCAGCTCAACACCACATCATGCCAGTTTGTGGAGTTTTGTCAATCTGACCAGGTATAGGTGTTTCATGTTATGCATTCCTATGCATTGATTTTTACTTTTTTTTTTTTTTAACTGTTTTTCATGGTTATGTGAATGGGGGCATGCTCAGGTCTCAACCCAGATGAAACTGCTGCAGTGCTGAAGGTGGGGAGAACTGGTTAGGACCGTGGGGAGGAGCAGCTGTTCCAGTAAAGGTGCTTTTCTACAGAAACTGCACCTTCCTCAAAAAATGACCGCAGGGTACAGTGCCAAGCTGTGCTCTCTCCCTCTGTGGCTTGGAGCCCAGCTTCCTGTCTGTCTGCTGCTGACAAAGCAGGCCACCTCCCGCAGACGTGGGCACCAGCCCCTGCTTTGTCCCCGTGGCTCACCAGGGACCAGGACCTACCAGGGTCTCTGCATGGCACAGGGCCCTTAGAGGGGTGCACCTTGGGGTGTCTCGGACACTGTGACCCCTGGGCCTGCCACCCAGCATTAAGGAGGCACAATGAGACCAGATGACATGTTGGGACCATCACATGGGACGTGTGGTCTCTGACACCTCTCACCAGAGGCCCAGGCCGCAGGCGATGCAGACACATGGCTCCCGGCTCCCCAGGGCCCTAAAGCATCACCACAGCCCCAGCCAACATGCATGCACCAGTGCCAGCTCCTCCAGCTGTGTGCCTCCTTCCAGCGGGAAGGCTGCAAAGCTAGAGAGAAAGGATTTTCTCCTCAGAGAGACCTTCAGGAGGGCACTGGCGCTGAGGATGGATGCTGCAGCCCCCGGGGCCAAGGGCTGTCCCCATGGCAGGGCAGGGGAGACCCACCAGCCTTCCTTCCCTTGGAGGAGCTGGAAACAGCAGCACAGTTTTATTTCCCTTGGCACAGATCTGGCTGACAAAGCAGCACCATAAATCTGCATTATCTTGCTTTCAACCTTCGAAGTCAGGGTTTTGTTTATTTTTCTAATTTCAGAGTCCTCTGCTTACCTGGCTGGAGCCTCCTTTGGGCTTCTCCCTCTGCTGGATAAACAAAACCCAGCATTTTCTACATGTGCTTTTTGCTTAGTCTGCTTTTAGTCTGCTTTTTTTTTTTTTTTTTCTCTAGCACAAGGAATTTAGGCAATTTAGTGCTGACAGTTAACTGTATGTTTTAACAGTAATCCTCTGCATGGAGACAGGGAAAAAGCTCCTTGTGGTATTCAGCATCTGCTTGATCAGCTGGACCGCAGGATGAATCCTGCTGTAGTTTTTAGCTAAGCACCGGATAATCCTTACACTATTTTATTTTATTTTTTTTTGAGCATATCCTACTTTTTATTAATATATAGATGTATATATATATTTTTGAGCATATATGGATTTGGCACACAAGTGCCACAAAGTTTGAGTGTGCAAACAGTGACGGACTTAAGTAATGAGATGAAACAAATTGTCCTAGAAATGAAGCTTAATCTATCCTGTGTTGAATAAAGTGAAATACGTCTGGCTTGGAACGATGAAATAACCATAGCAAAAAGATGACTATTAAAAAAGTTTACTACCAAATGCAGTACAGACAATGACCTGTAAAAACCCAGTTCTAAACCCAAACTTGCCCTCTCCTTCCAAAACCTCTGGAAAGCTATTTAGATATAATTTTATTTATTACTTTACATGTTTGTTTGTTTTAATGTAGGCAGGCCACCACCTGCAGAAGGTCCTCAGTGATACCCACCCCTTAGGTTCAGAGCAGGCAGGTCTTAACTGCTGCCTCTAAGTCTCCGCACACTCTGTTGGGCTAGGTCCTGAACAACAAAATTGGCAAGAAAGATTGACTATGGTTTTCGTCACTGGGTGTTTAAATTTTCCAGGCTGGGTTATGCATAACGTCCTGTCAAATGTGTTCACAGTTTGTTTGGAAAACAATAACAAAACAACAACAAATGCCAAAAAAATCCAACCAAGCAAAAACAAAAACAAAAACAAAAACAAAACAAAACAAAACAAAACAAAACAAAACAAACAAACAAACAAACAAAAAAGGAAAAAAGAAACCACTCACAGCATGAGAGTTGCAGATGCTGCAGCTTACTCTGGTGACACTTATGAGCATCACCACACTCTTTTTCCACATGGTGGGTCTTCCACCAGAGTTTACTGAACTTCAGCTCAAACATCACACAAAAACACAGCTCCAAAACAGAAGAGCAAATTCTCAAACATCTTCCTTGACTACAGAGCATCAGCTGCTTGTGGCCAGACAGATCCTTTATGGACTGTTCCCATCAAAGCTGGTGGCAACTGCCCAGCTCAGCCTGAGGTGGTTTCAGGGTATGAGGCTGTGGCATGGTAGCATCACCTGTGTGTCACTGTCTCACTGCAAACACTTCCCAGCAGCAAATGAGGGCTTCCAGGCAACCTCACATCACAAGGAGGGATAGCCCTGTTTGTTAAAGTGTGCCATAGCCACACCTAGATAATCATCTCTCTTACACCCTAGAAGCTGGGGTGCTTGTTTGGGGCTGAGTGGAGAGGTCCCTCTGACAGCAGAGAAAGGTGCCAGCATCCCAAAATGTCAGGACAGAGGTAGTATTTTATTTTCTGGTCCATGCCGTGGTGTAAAACTGGAGGTGCTCCTCCACGAGGGTGCATGGTGGACTGCATCCCTGCCTGCTCCCCTGCAGGACACTGGTGGAGAATGGCACAGATGGGGTTATCTTCTTCAGATAGGGCTCTGCAACTCTGCGTGGAGGTGTCACCTTCACTTCACCCAAAGGGCAAGCATGCCTCAGATCCCTGGGGCCAGCAGGACTGCCTCAGACAAGGTGCTCCAGCAGAAAGCTCCAGGCTCCAGAGAAAGCTCAGGTAGATATGGCGATGTGGGTCTCACTGCATACTGCTTAGGAAGATTTTAGCAAGCATCCTCCTAGGCACACAGTACTGAGTGAACGAGTCACAAACAGCATTGTGTATCCATAGTAGTCCAGTATGTGTATGAAAGTACATTAACGGGACTCAAATATTGCTCCTCTTCCTCTGAAGTTTCCCTTCCTCGGAGGAGAATTTTGGAGTTGAAGAGGGCTTTTGGGTAAAAGGTACTAGGGAAACAAGAAAGACTGGGAAGCTTTCCAACAATATTCCTGCTGCTAACTTTTTCCAGGCTGCAGTTCTTCAATGTCTAAGAAGCATGAATAAATATATATACAATAGTAAATTTTAACTGTGTGGCAAGACAGCTGCTGTAACTGGCATTTGTTATTCTTTTCCCTTCATTTCAGTTCTCTGTAGTGTCCAAATCCTTGCCGAGCTAAGGGTTGGATTTTATGCCTGGCGGTATAGCTGCTGAACTGGCTGCAGTGGTTGAGAGCAGGGCTGCTGCTTCCTGCTGCAAACTCCACTTTTCCTGGCAAGGGTCTCCAAAAGCTTTCATACCTCCTGAAACTGCACAGGAACAGTGAGGAGACATCC